AGGAAAAAGTTGCAGGTGCAGTTTAAAAAAAAAGGAGTTACTTAGAAAACAGCACAGAAAAGTATAGAAAGTAAGAGAAATGGAAGAAAAATTAAGAGGGGCCAGCATACTGTAATAGGCTTAGAAGAAGAGAATAAATGTGAAATGACATAAAAACTATGCTAAAAGATATTTTGCCCAAGGATTCTCCAGAATACAAGAAAGATTTTCACTGGTCACAATCCTGAGCATGATAAACATCTATACATAATATCTATTCTAAAAGCCACAGAGAGAAAAACCAAGGTTAGAAAGGAACATTATACTCACAGCGGACTTCATTGACAGTGTTAGAAGACAATAATATTTAAATAAGATAAGGATAACCTTTGATTCGATTCTATATGTGACTAAACTGTCATTCAAATACAAATAGATAGACTACCATACTGAAAGACTTACTTAAGGGTTAATATTAACAAAGAAAAAAATGAACCTGGAGGGAAGAGTGAGATTTTAGAAGAATGAATAAATTTTCAATATCAGTGAATATAATTAATAATTGACTGTTTTAATGGATTTTTGGGTTAAAATAGGCACAACAAAAATTCTAAATGACAATAAGGAAAGTGGGAGTAGGAAACTCAGTGAATTGCTAAGCTGTGCCAGGATCTTTGTGCTACTATTTTATATTCTGTTTAAAGAAAAATACTTGTTTATTAATTAAGAAAGATAGACAACAAAGTACTGAAATACAATTGGAAACTTTGAAATAGGCTGAGAGAATAAAAGGAACTAGAGAAAACTTGATCAACTCAGTAGAAAGCAGGAAAGGAGAAAATGAAAAAAAGATACATTAAACAAAGAAATGGGCTAGTATCAGTAATTTAAAATACAAACAGCTCAACTCCTCTGTGCTATTTAATAGGAAATCTAGACTGGTTTACATCTGAAAACATTTCCTTGAAGTATATGTGAGGTCTTAAAAAAAGTTCATGGAAAATACTTATGAAAAAACTATCCATGAATTTAAAATTTTTGCACCAAAGTAAACTTAATTCCATTTTCCATGAACTTTTTGAAGTATCCTCATAAAAAGCAAAAACTAAATGAATTATAAGTAGTGCATAAAACTGTAAGAGTATTGGGATATTTTATTATGACTATTTAGAATAGATAGATCAGGCAGACAAAAAAATTGGTAAGAAAACTATAAAAACACAATGAATAGAAATCAATGCTAGTAATTAGAGAAAACGCATTCATTTCTCACACACTGAACTATTTCCTACTGTCACAAAGGAAGTTTTAACTATAATACAGTTAACTTAGACATCTATACTCAAAAATGGTTTTTAAAAGAAATCAGATCCCCAAATACTTTCTAATATCACTAATGGAAACAAAACATAGAAACAAATAACAGTGAAGTATAAGGAATATGGTTCCAGTGGCACTAGGAAAGAACTTTAAAGTCTTAAATACATGTGTTAAAAATTAAGGAAGATTAAAAATTAATGAGTTAAATGTGCAACTCAAGAAACTAGGGTAAGAAACTGAAATAAGTAGGAAGGAAATAAAAGTTAATTAGAATAGAAGAAATATGGGCAACAAAATCAAAAGTCACTTTGTAAAAAAAATTGTCAAAAGCTTTAGCAAAACTGATGACAAAAGCAAGAATAGATTAGTAGTAAAAAATGGAACACAATTCTCAATGGAGAAAAAATAATAAATGGTTGGAGAATATAAGCAGTGAGATTTTATAAAGCTAGTATAACCTTGATGTTGAAAGTAGACAAGGTATGAACTTAGATGTAAAAAACAAAAGTAAACTATAACCCAGAAGTATGTAGCTGCATATGTATAAATCAGAGCCTCATAATCAGGACCAAGTGTGGGGCTTAGCCATGTAAACGTGTTTTAGCATCAGAAAATCTGTCTAAATTCATCACATTGTCAGATGACATGAAATAATAAAAATAATTTTACCAGGAGATGTGAGAAAAACATTGTATGCAATTAAGCTTATTCATGATAATTTTTTTTTCAAAACTGGGACTTAAGAGAATTTCCTTAGTCCCGTTAAAAATACTAATACTACAAAAAAAGCCTGCAGTGAACATTTTTACTTGATGGTAAAGATAATATCCCCTTTCAAATCTACAACAAAACTTGTTCTATATCACCGCAGAGGTCCTTGCCGTGCCTTATCATAATGAAGTGAGGTGTGATTCTCAATGAAAATTTTTTTAAACAGTCGTTAGTGAAGATCTTAACATTCTAAGAATCTAGGAAACTTTGTAGACTTTTAAAACAAACAGGAGAGGTCAGAAAGTACATTGGATCCCCCTCCCCCCCTACAAAAAATGTGAAAAGCAATAGCAGATATTTTCAAAACCCAAGTTAAGTCATGAGAAAATACCAGAATAATCAGAATTGAGGAAAGTTCTATAACATACTTAACGAGTATGTCACAAACTGCCAATGTCATGAAAAACAAGGATTACTGAGAAGCTGTTACAGCCTGGGAGAGTATAGGGAGAGATAATCGCTAGAAGTAATGTGGTGTTCTGGATGTGTTCCTGAACACAAGGAAGACATTAATGGTAAAATGAGTGAAATCCAAATAAAGTGTGTAATTTAATTAATAGGTTTTTTTTTTTGCTAATACTAATTTCTTTTTGACAATGGACCAAGGTTATGTTAATATCAAGGGAAATTGTGTAATATCTTTATAAATTTCCTGTAAATCTGAAAATATTAAAAATAACCAACTATACAATTAATGGGGAAAAAATTTTTAAAGTCAAATAGGACCTTTATAGGGAAAAAAAAAAAAAACCACAACTGGTAGCCATAAGAGACAATAAATAATAGTGACATAGATCATGGTCAAAGACTGGAGGCCTTGATGCCATAACATTTTCAGTTTTCTCTAGATTATTCTTTAAATTTAATAAAATGTTAGTTGAAATTTTGGTAGGATATTCGATCAAACTCCACAGGCTAATTCTACAAGTCATTTAAAGCTAGAGGGCTAAGAATGTTAGAGTTTTGTACAAAGGCAGTTGGTCTTCCAAATATCTGGATATTATAAAGCTATATCAATTAATATGCTGTGTTAATACACAGAGATACAATAAATGGGCCAGTTGAACAAAGTAAATAGTTCAAGAACAGGTCCACTCTATTCAGAAACATATAATGTCAGGGGAAATATTAGATCCCTGCCACAACTTGTGCACAAAAAAAAAAAAAAGGAATGAAAATTTAAGGTTATTGTAATGTCTTTATGACTTCAGTGTGGAGAAGGACTTCATTAAGCATGAAAATCAGAAATCTGAGAAAGACTGACAAACTTTGCATCACCAATATTTAACATTCCTCTAAGACGAGATAATGATGGCTCTTCTAACTTTGTTTATGGTAGATATTTCAGAGTAAGTTTTGTGACTGAGGTCGGGGCAAGAGGTTACTCAAGTTGAAAAATGTCTTACTTGCCTTTGCAGATTGCCTCAATGCTGTGCAGAAAATATCAGAAGGGGGAGTTTGGAGTAGAAGAAGGTTATCTCGGGAAAATACTGGTGGTTAGGATTACTGTGGACAGGGAAAACATGGTGCAGTTTTGAGGTGCATCTGTTGGATATAGTCAGAAGGACTTGCTGGTGAATTGCCTGTGAAGAAAAAAGGAGCAAGAACAACTGGGATTTTTGGCTATAGCAACTGGTGCTGTTTACAGAATGGGAAAGGGAGAAATTACTATTTGTTTTAAATGTTCTGAGTGGCCTGTTACACATCCAAGTAGAGCAGTCAGCTTTTAAGTAGACAACTGAATATGTGAGACTGGGCTTCTGTGGGGAGTTTTGTGGCAGAGGATTGAAATTTGGGAACCACTGGCATGTATGTTGTATTTAAGCCATGTAATTAGGTAAGGAGGTGAGGCCACCACCCGGGAAGTGGATATTAATAGAGAAGACTAATGACTGAGTTCTGAGGCCAGACCCTCCAGCATTTACAGGTTTAGTGAAGAAAAAGACAACTGTGACAGGGAAGAGGCCGCTGATGTAGGGGGAAAACCAGGACTCTGTAGTGGCACCAAAAATACGAGAAAATATCATGGATTTTGTTTGTTATTGCTGTCTGCTTTAATGAGGATGTTAAATGTTACTATGAGATTAAAAACAAATTTCCTAGCTTCATCGGAATTGCTAAATTTGTCAAGCAATTTCAAGGGAAGGGGCATAAGCCTGCCTATATGGCATCTAATAGGCAGAAGATGTGAGTAAGGACTTTGAATTGGTGCGAGTGGACCCCGGAGGAGGAGGGTTCCCTGCTGAGAAAAGGTGCTCAGGGGAGCAGCCCAGGAACAAAAGTATCTGATGGAAATGAATGATCCAGAATCCAGAAGTCGGCATTATAAAGAACTTTGGGGAAAATGGGGATGGGGTCTCTAAAACAGGTTAAAATCACTGCAGACATTAGGATCCCCTGGGGAGCTCCAAAATAAATATCGCTGTTGGATCCTGGGCTTCTACATTGTTTCACGGCTCCCAGCTGAGCCTGATGAATAGCCAGATTTGAAAATCCTTGACCTCTAAGTAGTACCACATTGACTTTTAGTGGTGCTGTTGGGGAGCTTGGTTTGAAGGCACATTTTCACAGCAAGTACAGGGTTTTCATTCATATTTTGTTTCTGTGGCATTGCTGGATGAGAAGAGATGTTGCAACTTCTCAATGCAGCAGTTAACCACTGTTAACTCCTTAAGTATAAATGCAAAATTTCATATTGGGTTTTATATTCTGTGTGTTCTTAGGTAAATTCCTTTTTTGTAATTAATGATATCTGAAGAATTTTTCCTTTAACATTAAAAACATAAAGCTTTTTTTATTGGCCACATAAAATTCTGCAACATACCAGAAAATAATTTATTTTCTGCATAGTGTATTTTTGATGATAAAAATTATGTTCTGGGAATATCCCTGTGATAATCTCTTGCACATCTCCATTTCCTTTGTTTCAGTTCCTTGAAAGTGGAATAGTTGGATCAAAACGGGTACACTTGTGAACTTTTAATTCATTGATTTTACTACCAAAGAAGAAATACATATTTCTGCCAAGGAAATTCACAGTATGGATTGGAGAAGGGAAAAGAATCTTCTACTCTCATTCCTAACCCCTTTCCACTAGAGGTAACCAGTTAACTATTTTTTGCCTACTTCTGGAAATTTTATCTGCATTTGTGTTTATTCTTAACAAACAAATAAATGAGAAAACACTTACCAGTTCATTTCTACAAACTTCAGCACTAAATCTACTGAGACATCATCCTTAATAGTTCCATACAGCTCTACCTCATGATTTTCCCAGGTTACATAGGATTTCCTTATGTCAGAGCCAGGATCATTTATTGACATGTTATTCATCTCCCAATTTCTTGCATTTTTACTAAGTGACACGGCAGTGCAATCAGCCACTGAAAGGTCTTTGTGGAAGGCACGCTGGTGGACAACAGCGCGGGAAGATGCTGAACTCCCCGCTCCCGTGAACCACATTTACCTGGTATTTGGGATTTGCATTTCTTTAAGCAAGGAAAGATCGTGATTTTTCCTTTGTAAGTCTGCTGGTCATTTGGGTTTTCTTGCGAGTTGCCAGTTTCCTGCCCTTTGCCCATTTTTCTCTGGCTTGATTTGGTCTTTATCTTGTTGGCTTCCAAGAACTCTTCATTTGGTAAGGAAATTAGTCCGGTGTCTCTCATGGGTCCCAAGCAGTAAAGACATCTCCGCTTGTCGTTCATCTTTAGACCTCAGTGTAAATGTTTTTGCTTGTCGGGTTTTCATTTTTTTTTTTTTTTCATTTAGAGAAATGTATACTTTTGTCTCTTTTCTTTTTCTTCACCGGTTTTGCGTTTGGGCATCGTTAGTGGGCTTTGCTCCGTCTTACCCCCATGTCTTTGTTTGGGGGCTACTCCCCACCAAGCCCACCCCCCTTTTCCAGACCCTGCTTCGGGGCCCCTGGCGTCCACTTGGTTGACGTCAATCCCGTGCCTTCGCGCCAAGCCATCGCCACGGCAACGTTAGTGTGATTGGCATGGCATGGGGGCGTGGCTGCGGGGGCCTGTGGAGGGCGGCATGGTCACTGATTGGCCCGTGCGGAAGCCCCGCCTCTGCAGAGGATTCCTGACAAGGAGGCGGTGGGCTGCGCCCGGTGCAGACGCCTGGGAGCGGCAGGAGGACTGAGGGTCGGGAGGAGCTGGCGATGTGCACCCTTGGCTGGTGGCGCCGCTGAGCGCCAGTGCCGTGCGGGCGCGCTAGACAGCTGCGCGTGGAGCCGGGGCGTGCGGTGCGCGTGGTACGTGGTGCGGTGAGGTGAGTCACCCGCCCGGCGCCAGTTCACACCTCCGGCCGCCGTGCGTGGGTGTCAGCCGTGGGCGCCCCGCGGCACGACGGAGCTGAGGGTGGTGCCGGGGGGCGTTGGCACCATCGTGCCCCTGTTGCCGAGGGGCCAGTCCGTGGGTATGGCCGTACGGCAAGGCTCGTGGCGCCTTCTTGGGGGTCCTGGGCAAGGGTCGGCTGCAGGTTGCCGCAGCGGCGCCATCTTGCGTGGCGGGATCTCGTGGGGGGCTTTCCACACGATCTTGCATGGTTTGGGGCGGCGGGGGGCGGAGCAGGGACCTCCGCAGTGGCGGGCTTGGGGCATGGGGCCCCATCTCGGGCGAATGTGCCATGGGTGGACACCAGGTCGCCATCGCTGACGTCCACGGGTGGGGTCGAACTCGGGGCTGTCGCAGCTCCTGGGCTGCGCTGGTCGCCCGCGCCCCGCAGGGTCTCCGACTGGCTTCGGCGGGCCCGCGCCTGCATGCTGCGAGCCTGTGTTTCGGGGGCGGCGCCTGTTTTGCTGCAGTGACCGTGGGAGGGGTCTGGGGCTGCTGGGGCGGGGTCTGGGGCTGCTGCCTGGGGGCGGCGTCTTCTGGGCCCTGCCCGCCGGGCGCCATCTTTGGCAGCGGTGAGGGAAGCTGCCGGGCGGGCATCGTCCTTATTGGCTGATGGCGGGTCGGGTGGGGCCGAGCGCCCGGCCGCTGTCCCCTCCGTCCGTGTCCGTGACCGTGACCGCGACAGTGTCCCGCTGCGCCTCCGCTCCTGCCCCGGGATTTGCCGCGCAGGTGCGGCCTTGGCGGTGGCAGCCAACTTGGGGTTCCGTGCTCCTCACTGCCTGAGGGGCCGCCGTCGAGGCTCCCTGACGTGTGTCCACGGCGCTGTCCGGGGCCCGGTGGAAGGCCCGCTCGAGCCTCGGGCATGCGGTGAAGCCAGGCGGCAGCGTCTTAAGGTTGCCGCAGCCAGCGCTGCTGCGTGGCGCCCGGTGCCGCGCGGGTCGACCGCGTTCTGCTGTTCTCGGCTGGGCTCACCCCTTACCGACACAGAGCGGGAGCGGTCTGGTTCTTTCTGCTGCGCGGGCCGAGGAGCCCGAGGGTGCTCCGTGGGCGATCTGGCGCGCCTGGTGGGTCCTTTGGGACTTGGCGCGGCTGGAGCTGCGTCCCGCACACGCCATCTTTGCTGGCCACGGGGGGGCGCCGGTGCTTACCAAGCCCGAATGACTGTGCGGGGCCTGGTTTCAGGGGTGGGCCCACGAGAGGGTGAGGGGTGTCTTGTCCGGAGCGCCACCCTCCTCAGCACGGTCTTGGCTTGCCACAAGGGGGCGGCGCCGTTTGCTTCATCTCTTTTAAAAGGTTTTTTTTTTTTTTTTTTAAGATTCATATATTTTGAAAGCGTTAAAAAGAGCAAGGGAGGAGGGAGGAGGAGATAGTTCGGTCTTCTGTCTGCTGGTTCATTCCCCAACTGGCCACAACGGCCGGTGCTGGGCCGTACAAAGCCAAGAGGCAGGAGTTTCTTCATGGTCTCCCACATGGTGACAGGGACCCAAACACTTGGGCCATTTTCTGCTGCTTTTCCCAGGCTACTTGGAGCTGGATTGGAAGTGGTATGCTGGCATTGCAGGTGCAGCTTTACCATAAAGTACCATCTTGATTGACAGCCGGGCTGGGTCTGGGCAGTGGGATGGTAGGGAGGGGTGGTGTGACGGAGGACAGGCCCAAAGGAGGGGCCACAGAGCTCCACCCACTCTGGCGCCATCTTTGTTGCCCATCGGGATGTGGATGACAAGGGGACAAGGGGGCAGTGCCTTGTCCTGAGTGAGTGATGGGCACCGCAGTGCTCTGCCCATTCAGTTGTGAGATGTGTGACAGAAGGAGGACACCTGAGGCTTACTGTAATGATGCTGTCTTGAATGACGGCTGGGCTGGCTGCGTGGAGGTGGGGGGCTCCCCCAGGACAGAGCTGTCTTGTCATGAGTGATACAGAGGGCCGTGGTGCCCTGCTCACCCAGGTGTTACACGTGCTGGCTGCCTAGGCACCACCTTGAGTAGGGGGAGAGCAGAGCTGACCTGGCGACTGACTGGGTCCGCAGAGCTCCACCCTGGCACCTGAGGTTTAGAGTAGGCACCATCTTCAGTGCCAGCAGAGCTGTGTTGGCAGCTGCTGGAGGAGGGGCTGCCGTGTCCCAACTGACTTTCTTTAGATCCGCTGGCCGCCCAAACGTACCTCAGATACCTGCTGCGCAGGCACCGTCTTGAACAACAGCAGAGCTTTGGGGTGGGCTGAGGGGTTTTCCAGGTGGGTGGATTCTCACATTGCCTGTTCCTTAGACCTGTGTCATCTTTGCAAGTTGCAGGGTTGGACATATGCAGGTAACATCTTGACTACCCGGGCTGAGGGGCGGGCCCACAGAGCCCTGCCCCGCCATCTGGTCCTGGTACAGCTGACGGCCTGTTGAGTGGCAGGGGATGTAAGAACGATAGCACAGGGCGGGGAAGAGCTCAGCTGTGCAGCTGTGGGATCATGCACCGTTCAGGGGTATCAGGAGAGTTGAGGAAGGGATGGAGACAGGTTGAACAGCACAGCTCAAAAGTCAGAAGTCCCAAGGGCAGGGTTTTTTAGTGAAAAACGTGGGTTTGAGGACCAGTGTTGTGACGCAGCATGGTAAGAGGATGCTGGCACTGCATATCAGAGTTCTGGTTCCGTCCTGGCAGTTGGAGTTCCAGTCAGCTCCCTGCTCATGCCCCTGGGAAAGCAGAAGGTGGCCCACATGGGAGACCTGGATGGCTCCTGGCTTCAGCCTAGGCCGGTCTTTAATGTTGCAGCCGTTTGGAAGAATGAACTAGTGGATAGGTCTCTCTGCCTCTCCCTCTCTCTCTAGAGTCACTCTGCCTTTGAAATAAGTGAGTAAATAAATAAATAAATAAATACATCTTTTTAAAAAAGGATTTGGGGTTTGGATAATTCGAAGTTCTGAGGGAAGAAGCAATTTTACTCAAAACCTTATTACAGCTTATAGATAGCTTTAGAGTGACCCTGAGTGGTACTCATGGAAATTTGGTAGGAGGCTGTGGGCAACAGAGGTGTTTCTGTCTCCAGCCAGCCAGCCAGCTGCCCCACTGCAGGGGCTGGGTAAGGTGGCTGTCATCCAGGATAGGGGGTGGGTAGAACAAGCCACCAGGACAGGGAGGAGGTGGAGGCCTAGCACAGGCAGAGCCTCTAGCGGGCTGCAGAGTTTCCGAAGTGAAGTGCACTTGAATGGGAGTGTCTGCTGGACCTAGATCCAAGAGAGTTTTAAGTTCCTGCTTTTTTATTTTGTTTTGTTGTTTTTTGACATAGAGAAAGTGATGTATAGGGATCCCGCTTCCCATCTAGTTCTAGTTAAAGTTTATGTTTGCCAATGACTACAGCTTTTTAAACCAGTAAAGATCTAAATGTCTAATAGTTTTTGATAAGTAAACTAGTAAACCTTACCAAAAATACCCTCACCTGACTTGTAGAACATAAAGCAGGACTGTAATCATAAAGTTGCTTCCCCCAGGGGCCAATTGATGGGCTGCATTTCGTAAGATACTATGGGTATTGAGCAATGTACTCTTAGTCTGCTGGGAGCATGTTGACATGTCTTCAAATATTATATGCTATTAAGTAATAATGCCATTACCTTATAGTATTGGTGATGATAGTACTGAGTTCCCACTAAAGGCCAGTTCTTTGCTGTTACCTAAATTCACAGCAAAGTTAAATTCCTGGCCCTGCTCCACTGACTATCAGATGACAGAACTGGAGTTTCAACATATCTTTTTAAAACGTAGCTATATTACTACTACACCTGATCTCTGTGGAAAGTGTTAATAGATTCTCTTTTTAAAAGGCATTAGGTAGGTCTTTATAGTTTGTTGTGAAGATTGGGAGAGGCAGTAAATGGTACTAAGCACCATACATAGCACATACTTAGCACTAAGTAATAGTACCTCCTTAGTTGTTGTCTTCCTCCATTTTCTACCTATAGGTTGTATCCTTGCCTTTCAAAGGGTGGCCAGTGACATAAAGCTAATAAGCAGCAAGTTGGGCTCTTAAAATAATTCCATGATCCGGTGTCTCAGAGAAGTGTCTAAGACACACCGGTGGTTGATTGAATGCCTATGATATAACGTGTTAGAAAGCTGTGATTAGAGCAGAGCTGTTGTAGGGACATTTCCAGTTCTTGGAATTCAGTAGCTATAAAATAAATTTGTCTCATTTTCTTTTCCTTTCACAGTTCTGCCTTGATCTTTCACCCTTAGAGACGACTGGCAAGAGGACAAGGGAATAAGTCTGTTCTCTAGGTGCCTGGATCCAGGTGAGTTGTACTCACTTCCCACTGTACCTCTTTGGACCGACTTTTGTCCTTTCTCTGCCACTTCCCTCTTGTACACATGTTCTACATAGCCATGCTAGGACTATTTTGCCCTCTGAGAATACACAGACTCCATTGGTGGGTTGGGCATGCAACAGAAATTCTCTTCCTTGGCCTCACACCATCCAGTTAAATATTCTACCTCCTTTCCCAGTGTTCAACCACACCTTCAGCCCTGCTCTCTCTCTCATTGGGTGACTATAAAGAAGCATGAAAGATTTGACTCATCTGCCATTATTGGTTGAATGTATACTTTGTGCTGGGTACTGGGAAAATGGCCCCAAATGAGAAAGAAAGTGTTTTCATAGAGCTCATAGTCTACTGGGGAATTAACTAAGTGGGAAACAAAACTGTGAGTCATGCCTCTGAAACAATCTGAGAGGCCACATCAGGCCTCCCTCTCGTAGTTGGGGGTGAAGGACTGAATGAGGGATGTCATGGCAAGAGCAGTCTGAACAGAGGGGAGAGGGATGTTCTTGGGGCGTGCGGAGAGAGGAGCTGAAAAGTCCACAGTGCCTAGAGTAAAAGGAGAATCAAGTGCCATCTGACTGGGGTGAGAAAGGTAAGTTGGAACTTGTTGTGTGCAGTCAATGGTAAGTATTTGGGTTGGTTTTACCCACAGTACGAGGGGAAGACATTGTAGTGTTTCTGTCATTTAGGAGTCAATGGTAATCACTGTAGTTTTATTATTTTTTAGTAAAAACTTTGTTTTAATTTATTTTTAATTCAAGAAGCCAAGACAGATGGAGAGAAGGAGAGGGTCAGAACAGAGATCTCCCATCAGGGCTTGGCTCTGCTGAAGATGGGAACCAGGGACTCAATCCTGGTCTGTCATGTGGGTGACAGGGATGCAACTACCCGAGCCATCATCTGTTGCTTCTCAGGATGGCACATTAGCAGTAAGCTGGAATCCGGAGCAGAGTCAAAACTCAGAATCAGGCAGTATAGGATGTGGGCATCCCAAGTGGTGTCCCAACTGCTAGGGCAAATGCTCGCTCCCCAGTATGGTTTTAAAAAGGTCCTCTGGTTGAGGATCCATAAGAGGAAGGTGGACAAAGTGGGTATGGGGAGACCACCTTGGGTCTTGTGAGAGATGGTGGCTTGGCTTGGGGTCATGGTACTATGAGAAGTGAAAAGGGTTGGGTAGGCTTGAGAGGTGCTTAGGAGAGAGACTGTACAGTACTTGGTCTCTTTGTTCATGGCCTGGTGACTGATTCAGACCAGAGGCAATAAATCATGTGACCTGAGGAAACAAAATAGACAAAGTTCATTTATTCGTTCTGTCAGCCAGCACTGATATTTGGGCTGATCCGAGTCAGGATCATGCTAGACATGGGCACTTGGGAAGGGAGTGATGTAATCCCTGGCCTCATTCACTATTGAGTAAGAATCCCACTATAAGGAAAGTAAAGAAACATGTCTGTCAAAATAACTGGTTATGCTGGTGATGGAGTACCACCTAGGGAGATGCCCAACTGGGACTCTGGTTATATGCTGGTGTTTCCCTCACCTCAGTAAATGCTCCAGGTATCCATCATGAAGCTCAATCCTTTGGAGACCTTAAAACTTTCCTTTGCCCAAGGACTCACATTAGCAATTACATGCTTAATGAAGTTCAGGAAGTTAAATAAAATCATACTGACATGTGACTTGAAATAGGATGTTCCTGATCCTCCAGTTCTGGAGTGTTAATTCATGATGGAAGATCACAGTAGGAGGGATCCAAATACTTAAAAGTATTGTATGATCAGCAGATTTTCTCCCTGTAGACAAACCTGCATGGGAAATGAAAACATAAGGAGAAGGTTGCCTGGTGAGTGTAGAATCAGAACCAAGAGGTTATGAATGAGATTTAGTAGCTCTAGTCTGCACTATGACCTGGTACAGAGACCCTCAGGGTGACCATGATACCAGAAACTGCTTATATACTGCCACAACCCTCTCCACACTCCACTCAAGTTAGATCTGATCACAGTGGATCTGTTTTCTATGGGTGGTTGCATGAGCAAATGATCCTCCCTTCAAAAAAGTACATCAACCAAAAAAAAGAAACTAAAAAAATTACATCAGCCAATTTTTGATATCAGAATATTTTATCAAATAAATCATACTGGTCTGGAAGACATTTTATCTTTTTAAAGTAGCTTTATTTGCCTTGAACGTTTTTTTTTTTTTTTTCTGCTCATAAAACTTAGCTCTTAGATTGGGGAGAATTTCTCAAGAATGGACCATGAGGAGATTTTGCTGCACTGTGTGTTAAGAGCTAAATGTACATGGTAGAGGTAATCCTAGGGTGTTGTGGAGATTATCTGTGGAGCCACCCAGTAAGTACACCAGAGGGTGGTGGTCATTGTCTGTGTGGTTGGGGTAAGTGGCTATTTACTTCTTACTCTCATTCCAAAATAAAATTGTTTCCCCTAAAACTCCTGTTGTTTTATGTATGCCTTATTCATGGTTAACTGGGCCAGACTTGGCACCTAAGCCTGGAACAGTGGTTTTAAAACTATCTCCTGCAGTGTCTATCAGAATGCCTCTCTTCTGGGCAGTCACATACCTCAGTAGTCACCCCTGGAAAGACAGTTGTGCCTTTCGTGAGCAACTCAGGCCAACTTTGCACACCTGGGCTGCTTGAGAAGCACTGCCCATGAAGGCATCAGGCTACAGCGCACACTTTCAGACTTTTAGGATTTTGGATAAAGGGACACAGACTGATGAGTACTCAGTATTGAACACTAAAACTAGGAGGTGAGGTTGGCCTGGGGCTGGGGCTGGGGCTGGGGCTGCCTTTTACTCCACGTGTATGCTGAAATGGAGCATGTCAGTCTGCAGAAAGAGAATGGAGCAAACAAGAAGAGAGAAGACACCATATACCATGCTGTCCCCCAGAGAGGAAGAGAGTAGTCTCCTGACTTTAAGGTTCTCAATTCTAGCCCCTTTCAGTGAGGTAGGTAAGACAAGTTAGGGGGCTGAGATTAGGTGCACCGTGATAAACGACCAAAGTAGGTAGGTCGGAGTGGGGCTGAAGGAGTGAGGGTGGAAGGAGTGTGGAAGCCTGAGGTCCCAGTTCCTCTCTTTTTGCACATAGTCCCAGACATGCTCCAGCAGCTGATTCAAGTTCCTGTTCCATGATTTCTCCAATTCAGGTCAAGGGTCTCTCCCCCATTTGTGAAGGACCCTTAATGAGATTCCTCTTTATTACATATTATGTGAGACCAGTGCTTTTATTTTCTACTCATTCTTATGAAATAAAATTACATTTTGTAAACTCTCCAAAGAATGGCATCAACTCTGCTCCAAAGACTACAATGCTGTTGTCTAGTACTGTCCTCTGGTTCTAGATGTTTCAACTCATCAGTGAAACTTACTTTTTATATAAAAAGCTGTTCATGCTTACATGTCTAGTATAGTTAAGAGCACATTCTTTGGAGGCTGAATAGCCATATACCTGTCAGTACCTCTCTCTCCTCTCCTTTCCTCTCTTTGGATTTGGTGGCCTGTCTCTATCCTCTAGGCCAAAATCAGGCTAGTGAGCAACCACCTGCCCACAACCAATACTCATGATAGGATTTCTGCTCTGAAGAGATAGCAGAGGGATGTGTGGGAGCCCATTTTCAAACTGGGAAATAAAGATCGGTTTGCCCTGTAGCCAGAATTCAATTTTGATTTAAGATGTAGGGTAAGGGTAGAGTACAGAGCTCAGTGCCACAAAGTGACCCCTCCCTCCCCAACCCCTCCTCAGGAGTACTCACTGGAAAGTGTGTACACATAGCCACTGGAGCATGTTCTAGGAGCACATAGAGGAGATGAAGGGATCAGAAATTAGAAAAGAGCCATGTCACCCCAGCAGGGGGAGAAGGGGGCTGATGAGCCAGACCAAGCACTGCAGACAGGAAGAAGAAACACCTTAGAAAACCACAGTCGAATTTACTTCCAAGTGTGTGTGTGTGTGTGTGTATAATAATGTTCCTGATTGTGAACTGACAATAGGATTCTGAAAAGAAACAGAAGTATTTTTATTAATGATTTATTTTTATAGATTTTCTTCATCTTACTGGTTTTTTTGTTTTGTTTTGTTTTGTTTTGTTTTGTTTTGACAGAGTGGATAGTGAGAGAGAGAGACACAGAGAAAGGTCTTCCTTTTTGCCATTGGTTCACCCTCCAGTGGCCGGGAGCCAGGTGCTTCTCCTGGTCTCCCATGCAGGTGCAGGGCCCAAGCACTTGGGCCATCTTCCACTGCACTCCCGGGCCATAGCAGAGAGCTGGACTGGAAGAGGAGCAACCGGGACAGAATCCGGCGCCCTGACCAGGACTAGAACCCGGTGTACCAGCGCCGCAGGCAGAGGATTAGCCTGTTGAGCCGCGGCGCTGGCCCATTTTACTAAGTCTTTATACAAGTTTATATGGAAGTTTCTTCTGGCTTAATTTATACATACAGATCAAGTAACTATGTAGTTGTATTTTTTTAAAATAAGTAAAAATATACCTTTCATTTAGCATTTCAAACCCAAGTGTTCCATCTATAGCTTTGCTATCTATACTAGGTTTCATTTTGTGGACTAATCATTTTCTGTACTTACATAGGACATATATGTATAATAAGAACAACATATATAGATTTTAAAAAGGTTTAGTAATAACATGTTTGACCGGTGAGTGTAGCTTACAGTTTCTACATAGAATATTTTGCAGTGCTTGAATACAATATTCTTTTATGTTTGTTATCTGAAAATTAAAAAAATTCTTGAAAACATGACTTACTAGTTGTATAAGCTTGAGGGCCAGCAGTGTGGCATAGTGGGCTAAGCCTCCACCTACTGCACCAGCATCCCAAATAGGTGCCAGTTTGTGTCCAGCTGCTCCTCTTCCGATCCAGTTCTCTGCTTATGACTTGGGAAGGCAGTAGAAGGTGGTCCATGTGCTTGGGTCCCTGCACCCATGTGGAAGATGGGAAGAAGCTCCTGGTTCTTGGTTTCGGATTGGCTCAGCTTCGACCCTTGCAGCCATTTGGGGGTTGAACCAGCAGATGGAAGACCTTCCTCTGTCTCTGTAACTCTACCTCTCAAATAAAAAAATAGTTATATAACTATGTAAACTAAGGATTTTTTTCTTCATTCTTTGTTTAATGAAAACAGAACAAATGCTGTTTTTTGAGTGCAGTGACTTATTTTAGTATGCTTGTCATTGGCTCTGGTGGCCTTAACATTCCAGAAATATGTAATTGAAATCCAGATCTTTGGAGAGGCTTGACACCAAAACTGGTTTTACTGGCCTTTCCTTATGTCCAAGGCTGACTGCAACCTTGGAAAAGCATGCATGAGTAACTGGTCAGGCACTGAAGTGCTGACTGCCTCTTATAACCTTTTTGTTAAGGTTACTCTTACAGTTAACCCTTTACATGACTTAAAATCCTTGATTTATTATAAACCAAATCCTTATATGTGCATACTTTCATACAAATTGACTTTTGGACTCTTGTTAGGTCCTAATGGTATATTTGTCCTTGCCCCTGAAACTTTGTATTGGAAAGAAGAGTTTGATTTCATCACATTAAAGATAGACAGTTCCCCACCCCAACCCTCATAGACCTTCTTATGCAGATTTGTCTTAATACTCCTGTATATATATTCTTCCAGAAGAACTGGATCACCTGTTTGCCAAAGTTCCACACATTAGGGAAAAGGAGCTTTGCGTCCCCCCCTCCCCCCCCGCCTTGTTTTTCTTAAACAGGACACATGTGTTCATTTACTTATAACTTGGTTTATGTCCTCTACATTTTCAGAATTTCGTTTAAAGTGGAAGATACCTTACTGATTTATGGGAAATTATTTATTTTGCTACTGATGAGAGTTTTTTCTTCTTTGTACTTACTGAAATGCTTTTTCAGATCAGAATAGTGCTCTTTCCATATTTATACCTTCTTTTTCTCTGATTGCAGTAGCTAGGAGTTCCAGGATAGTAGTATTGCTGGTGGTTATGGTCGAGGGCATCCTTGTCTTGTCCTTACCTCTAAGAAAGACCTTTAGTGATGAATTCCGTGTTGACATTGATCTGAGATAAATTTTTATTTATCGTGCTTAGGTCTCCTAGTCTTAATCTTTGCTTGGAATTTGTAAGGAAAGGCTGTCGAAGTTTGCAAATCCTTTTTTTTTTTTTGACAGGTAGAGTGGACAGTGAGAGAGAGACAGACAGAGAGAAAGGTCTTCCTTTGCCGTTGGTTCACCCTCCAATAGCTGCCACCGCCGGCGCCCTGCAGCCGGCGCACCGCGCTGATCGGTTGGCAGGAGCCAGGTACTTATCCTGGTCTCCCATGGGGTGCAGGGCCCAAGTACTTGGGCCATCCTCCACTGCACTCCCTGGCCACAGCAGAGAGCTGGCCTGGAAGAGGGGCAACCGGGACAGAATCTGGCGCCCCGACCGGGACTAGAACATGGTGTGCCGGCGCCGCAAGGCAGAGGATTAGCCTAGTGAGCCGCGGTGCCGGCCTTGCAAATCCTTTTTAAGATGCATCCCTGGGGCCAGTGCCATGGCTCACTTGGTTAATCCTCCACCTGCGGCACCAGCATCCATATGGGCACCGGCTTCTCATGCCAGCTGCCCCTCTTCCAGTCCAGCTCTCTGCTGTGGCCTGGGAAGGCAGTGGAGGATGGCCCAAGTGCTTGGGCTCCTACACTCGCATGGGAGACCAGAAAGAAGCACCTGGCTCCTGGCTTTGGATCAGCGCAGCTCAGGCCGTAGCAGCCATTTGGGGAGTGAACCAATGGAGGGAAGACCTTTCTCTCTCTCTCTGTCTATAACTCTACCTGTCAAATAAAAAAATAAATAGATAAAAAGATGCAGCCCTGCTTATGGGCTTTCCTTGCCCGTTTAATCCATTATTTATAACAGTTTGATGGAATGTCATCCTGTTTTTCTGGAATAGCCTGTCATGGGATATTATCTTGATGTTGCTAGGTTAGATTTAATGTTTTAGCATCTATATACGTGTTGAATACTTTTAATAAAAATACAGTGATGAAAAGGTGGCAGAGTCCTTACCTCCAGGAAACTTGTGATATGGTGTTAAGTATAGGTGCTCTTATGTCCCATTGGGTTCATATACCTTTGAGCTTATCTCAGATTATATGGATACCTTTTTATGGCCTTTTTAGGTCATCCTTGGACAGAATCTCTTTAGCTGTTATAATTCATTTGATGGTATTAAGCAGACCTTTAGATTTTCCTCTCTGCAGCCATCTGCAAATATTTATCTTCTGTTTTCTTCATTGGTAGGCAGGTTGTTGCCGTGGAGAAGCTGGGCTGGAGAAGCAGGGGCCAAGTAGGTAGAGCAGTTATGCTTTTGATTGGCCAGACTGGCTGTCATAGGAAAAGGTCGCCTGGGATCTGGTCTTCCTGAGCAAGCGTGAGGTAAATCTGGGGCCCTACTAGGTACTAACTCAGCATCTGGTTCCACTACTGTTGTCTTTTGGGCTGCAAGTGTAAGACAGGGTGAGTCGGGGTAGAGGTTGGACCGTTTGACCAGGAGGGCAGCTGACCTTGCGGCATGTGGCCCACAGGGGTCAGGTAGTCTTGCAAAAGGTTGTTGGCCAGCACTTCCTGTTCCTTACTTTGATCCTGGGTTGCTCCCACATGATTTTTGCCCTATGATCTATTAGGATTGATTACATAGCAGAAGTGCATTAACAGAATGCACTCTTACTTAACTAGTGCTCCTTCCTTCCCACCACACCATATATAAAATGGAGTCAGCTGCTGCTGTTCAGTGCTCAAGGTTTTACTTTTTATAGGCCACAGATTAGATGTATGTACAAGCTGACTTTAGAGATTTTTTTTTTCTTCCTAGTAGCTACTCACTTACTTTTGACTTTAAATGGAGACTTACTGATCAAAAGGAGTAGACAGTTCAAATGTCTTTAAACAGGCCAAAATGACATCCAGAAATGTGGTTCACACCTACATCAGCCAGCTTCTCCACCCCTTCAACAGCATTGATTTTGTCTTTTAAACATTCAACAGTCCAAAAACTGATAATGCAGAATTTTACATTTATTTGGTTTCTGATGTTAAATACTAGCTTTTATCATCACCGATTTTACGAATTCTGTGTTAGTGTTGGCTTTTTACCTTTTTTTAATGCTAGGAGCTTTTTGTATTTCAAATATGAACTGTCATCTTTACAGTAAAACATTTTTCCTCTCCTCCATTTCTGGTTTTTTGTTTTTTGTTTTTGTTTTTTTTTTGACAGGGAGAGTTAGAGAGACAGAGAGAAAGGTCTTCCTTCCGTTCGTTCACTCCCCAAATGGCTGCTTACGGCCGGCACGCTGTGCCGATCCGAAGCTGGGAACCAGGTGCTTCTTCCTGGTCTCCCATGCGGGTGCAGGGCCCAAGCACTTGGGCTATCCTCCACTGCATTCCTGGGCCACAGCAGAGAGCTGGACTGGAACAGGAGCAACAGGGACAGAATCCGGCACCCCAACCAGGACTAGAACCAGCCCCGCAGGCGGAGGATTAGCCAAGTGAGCCATGGCGCCGGTGGTTATTTTTTTATCATGCAGAAAATTTAGACCCAGCCTTATTTTCTTGTGTCCCACATGGTGGTCTTTCAGTGGTCTCTGTTGTTGGAATTATGCTTGCTCATTTTCCCACGCATCCCTGTTTTCTGCTGATGTAAACAGTGCTTCTGTGAACACAGCTTTGAGCTGTGTCTCTTTGGTCACATGGGCAGAGAGATCCAAGAGTTACATTTTGGAAGTGGAAATGCCTGTGTCGGAGGTGACATTGTACTTATGTACTGATAATTGCTGGGTATAGTTGAGGGGTACATTCAAATTACAACTGCAATTTCCACAAGTATTTATTAGGTCTCAGATGTTTCAAATTTACTTCTTTGTGGTTTTCTAAATTACCTGTCATGTCTTCTGCAAATGGCCAGGTCTGGGTGTTACCATGAAGTGAAACTGGGTGGAATGAGCCAGGGAGGGCTCAGCATCTGTATAAAGGTGTTAGCACTGCCTGCACCCACTCACTAGGGTAGCACAGATTTTGAAAGCCTCTACTGGTACTTTTGTTGACTGTTTTAACTTTGAGTTTATTTTTTTGACTAGGTAATACATGCTCACAGTAAAAAAGTAAACACAAAAGGAGAATATACAGTGAAAAGAAGTAAGTTGCCCTTCCTCCCGTGGCCCCCAGTTTTCTTCCCCGGAGGCAATCACTACCAGTCACCATTAATAATCCCTTCTATCCTTCTAGAGATCATCTGGGTAAATACATTTGTTTTGATAGTGTTTTTAGAATGATATGCACATTGTTATCTGCATTTTTTCTGCATTTTATCCTTAACTATCTCATTTATCCTCTCATACTCATTCATTTAGAGTTGCACCATTCTTTTGAAATATTTTATGATCATATGAACAGACTATCTTGTCCATTAACAACACTTCAGTGACTATATTCTTACATGTATATCACTACATGTTTCTGGGATAAATTGATGAAGTAAAATAAATTGATGAAGTAAAATTTATAGGACAGTTTTATGTGCAGTTTTCATTTTGATGAAAGCAGGGTCTGAGTGTGTCTGTTTCTCTACATGCACATAAACATATAGTCCCCCTCGATGATTATACTGTTCCAAGGCCCTCTCACCCAGTTTCTTCCTCTCAAGTGAGTTTTCTCTGCCATCCTAGAAAGGAGTAACTAATCTGATTTTTTATAACCTTATAAATGTTTTATCAAACATTTATTGATGCTCTTGCAGGCCAAGGGCTCTTCTGTTGTCCTGGTCAGAAAAAAATCTTAAACATATTAATGAGGATCATGGGGCCAGCACTGTGGCACAGTAGATTAAACTGCTGCCCACAGGACTGCATCCCATATGGGATTTTTTTTTTTTGAGTTGTTGGCTGCTCCACTTCCAATCCAGCTCCCTGCTAATGTGCCTGGAAAAGCTAATGGCCTGGCCCAGTGGATAGAAGATCTCTCTCTCTCCCTCTCTGTAACTCTGCCTTTTAAATAAATAAATAAATCTTTTAAAAAAATGAAGATCATATTTTTTACTCAAGTCCTGCAGCTTTTCAGATGTTTTTGGCCCAGGAGTTGCCATTTTCTGATGAGCTACTCATTGTGAGATACTTATTCAAGTGTCATAATTAATGAGTAGAAGTTCTCCCATCTCCTTTTTATGTTCTGGATGGGTTTTGTAAATACTTTACACTTGATCTTAGCCAAAAGGCCAAGAAGCGATTGTAAATACTTTGTTCATGGAAGTTTATTTGGAAATTTGCTCTTTAAATCATTTCAGCTTTTTAAGTTTCCTCCCTGTGGTCATATTTTCTGCTGCTGCCTGAGTGAGGTTTGGCTATTTATATTTTCTTAGAAAAACTGTCAATTTTTAATTTTCTGTTACACTTTTTAACCCTACAAGTCTTAATAGTTTTAATCTAGTAATGTTCTATATCTCAAATACATAACTTTTGAGGAGAGAAATTACGAGAATGATAGTTTTAATCTCTTTGTGCCACAGATTTGTTTTTGTTGTAATTGGCTGGGACTCTAGAATAAATAGTAGTATTAAGGCTTATCTGCTTTCACAAGTAAGTATGGTCTGTGACTTGTTAGTGTTAATCTTTGTCTTGGGTTTTTATTTAAAAAATTATTCTGGCTTTATAAAGATCATATGAAAGATTTTTATCCCTCATCTCTGGCTTGGTTTGTATGTCATGCATTGGGATGGTTTTTTCTTAAAGATATATAAGGAAGGCTTTATTCAAGTGCTGTCCAAGTCCCCATACTTTTGGAGAGTTAATTCTCTTCACACTCCCTTTATGTATCTTCCATGTTTCTTAGTCCACGTGTCTCTTTCTTTGAAATGTCTACAGGTACCTGTGTTTTGACTCAGTTCCTGTGGATAGCTGCTTGGTCTGGAGTTCCAGAAAGGATTTTATTCCCAGACAGGTGACTACATACTTAAGGGTGCCACATTACTCCAGAGTGAGGGACATTGTCATCTACAGCACCAGAGTGCTGTCTCTCTGCTCTTGCCTTTGCCCCTTTCCCCCTCTCTCAAACTTAGACCTCATTCCTATCTGGCCCTACTTTCTTATGCCAATTATGCAGACTAGTAACAAAAAGGCTACATAATAGAACTTAAATGGTAGGAAACATGAGTTAAGAGAGCTTCACATGTACTCAACAGTGCTTCCCGTATGTGTTTGTCCATCAGTACCAAGAAGAAGCTGATAGAGAAGTGGACAGGAAGAAGGTGAATTGCCACCCCAGAATATTCATTTGGAAACAGTGGTGTAGAAGTTGACCCAATTTCATAGGTATAACTTTTGGATTATAGCAGTTCTTCACCCCATACCTGCCTTCCTACCCCCAAACTGTCCCACCTCCTACTCCCTCTCCCATCCCATTCTTCATTAAGATTCATTTTTAATTATAAACAGAAGATCAACTCTATATTAAGTAAGATTTCAACAGTTTGAACCCAGACAAAGTATAAAGTACAGTTTGAAGACAAGTTTTACTGTTAGTTCTCATAGTACAACTCATTGACAGAGGTCCTATATGGGGAGCAAGTGTACAGTGACTCCTGTTGTTGATTTAATAATCAACACTCTTATTTATGATGTCAGTGATCACCCAGGACTCTTTCCATGTGCTGCCAGGGCTATGGAAGCCTTTTAAGTCCACAAACTCCAACATTATTTAGACGGGGCTTAATCAAAGTGGAAGTTCTCTCCTCCCTTCAGAGAAATGTACATCCTTCTTTGATGGTCCCTTCTTTCCGCTGGGATCTCACTCACAGAAATCTTTCATGTAGGCCATTTTTTGCCACAGTGCTAAGACCAATTTTAAAATGGGGTTTCATATGTTATTTTCAGTATGCCACATCAGTGACAGTGTTTGTGTTAGGCACTAGGGGACGCAGTGATGGAAAAAGTTAATCTCTATTCACTTTACTAGAATCTATAGTTTACTGTAGGGAGATAGGCAGATAAGCCCAAATGAAGATATAAGAGTACTTGTGATTCATGTCGGTAAACCTAATGAGTGGAATAAGTTTTGAGGAAGAGGTCTGCGGAAGTAGAGTTAGCTTGAGCTCTGCAGACCATGCCTTGGAACTGATACCTCAGAAGTGCCTGCTGAGGAAAGGTTCTGAGCCTGCCTGGAAACTCAGGTTGTCCAAGGAACTCATAAATGCTGCATGGTGTTGCCAACATTCCTTGCTATCCAGTGTGACAGTAGCCACAAGCGACTAGTACCTACTGAGCACTTGAAACGCACTAGAGAGAATGATGAACTGAATTTTTAATTTATTGAATTTTAATCGAAATAGCCCTGTACAACCAGCAGCTGTATCGATATACAATAGTACAGATGTAAAGAAATTAATCTGTAAAGGAGAAATGATTGTTTGCAATCATATTACCCAGAGTTGAATAGTTTTACCATGATGTATGGTCTTCCATCTTTTATATGTTGTATAATGTGTTTCAGAATTGTGTTAAGGGGGAAAAAGTCGCTTAGAAATGGCAGGATTGGCCCCCATTCCCTATGTCCACCTCTCCTCTTTAGGCTGAGAAAAATCTTGACATCTGATTTTAGTAATGGTCTTGAATGGTTCACGTGTGCCTCGTATTGGGCAGGTAAGCATTTTAAGTATCTTGGGTATTTAAGCTTCACAATTCTAAAAAGGATATGAGTGCTGTTACTCTCATTGCACAGGTTACAGAGCCAGCCTCCGGGGCATTAAATAAGGTGGCTGTGGTCTCATAACCAGTAGCAGAGCTATCTCTTCAAGCACAAATGTGTACAAAGCCCTGGGGGTCATACTTGTAACTGCTGTGCTAAAGCCAACTTTTTGTAGTTTGTGTGTGAGTGTGTGTGTGTGTGCGTTTGTGTGTCTATTTACTGGGGGATTTCCACATTCCAGAACATTGTTGATGCCCCTGGTAGGGTAGCCCCACCCCTTGCTGCCTGGTCCTCAACTTCTGGGACATGTGTATATCTCCTTACGATCTACAGGTCCCTGAGTACTGACTGTCACAGGCTGCTGCGTCTTTCCTGTTGACTCATGTTTGATTCCTCCAGTGAAAATTTTACTTACAAAAATGCTGCCTCCAAAGCCCTTGTCTGCTACAAAACCTAAGAAGTTCTGGGCCCCAAATCTGTATGAGCTAGACAGTGACTTGACTAAGGAGCCGGATGCCATCGTAGGAGAAGGCCCAACTGACTCTGAATTCTTTCATCAGAGGTTTCGGAACTTACTCTATGTGGAATTTGTTGGGCCTCGGAAGACACTGATCAAACTCCGAAACCTCTGCCTCGATTGGTTGCAGCCGGATACTCGCACCAAGGAGGAGATCATCGAGCTCTTAGTCCTTGAGCAGTACCTGACCATCATCCCTGAAAAGCTTAAGCCTTGGGTGCAAGCAAAAAAGCCAGAGAACTGTGAGAAACTTGTCACTCTGCTGGAGAATTACAAGGAGATGTACCAGCCAGAAGGTGAGATACTCCAGAGGGTGATGCAGGGGGCACAGGTGGCCAGCTCAGTGGTCTCTGCCTCAGCACTGCTGACAGACGTTCTGGGACAGTCAGTGTCTGACTTCAGGTGGAGAATGGAGGCTGTCCTTCGCGCCATGGGATGTTGAATCTCATCCATGGCCTCCCCAAACTGATTATCACCACCAAATGTGTCATCTTGCCTGGTGAAGTGTCCCCTGGGGTCAAACCCTGGCTAAGAACTACTGCCTACATCCGCAGAGGGGCAAAGACCTTTCTGTGGAAGGGCTTCTGTTAGGAAGAGAACCCTCCCCTTAACTTGCCTGTGTTAAACTGCCCCCAAGAAATGGGCTATAGGCCTTTGTTGTCTGGAGGTGAGGTGTGTGTGGCTACAGCCACGGTCTGTGCCCAGTCTTTAAGTGGAAAGAGAGATTGGAAGCTATTAAGTGGGTTTAAACTGAGAAACTACAGGGTCCGATGACTCCAGCTAATGGGCAGTAGGGAGTTCAGGAATTGGAAGAAGCTATTGGTGAGAATATGGGCTAGAGATGTGAAGGTGTTAAGTTGGTGTCTGGTGTCCTCAGACGACAACAACAGTGACATACCCAGTGACGACGACATGAGCCGAAATGGAGGAGAAACCCCACCACCTCGCTCGGAGCACTCTTTCAGCAGTGAGTAACCAGTTGTGCCAGTCATGTCACCAGTGGGTGTGGGGAGGCGTTTTCAGGTGCTGTGTTATATGGAGGCACATGGACTCTGAGGCCTCGGTGACCCAGATCAGGTCATGTCAGTCAGAGGTCTAAGGGGAGGGTAAGTAAATTAAGACATTTTTGTATAAAAACAAACACCAATAGGTGGAGTGAAATGCAGGATGATTTCTTTTTAATTTTAAAGATTTATTTATTTGAAAGGTGTAGTGATGGAGAGGTCTTCCATCTGCTGCTTTACTACACAAAATGCCTACAACAGCTGAGTCTAGGCTACGCTGATGGCAGGAGCCCAGAACTCTATCCAGGTGTCCTATGTAGGTGACAGGGACCCAAGTACTCGGGCCACCATCCACTTGCCTTTCCAGGTGCGTTAGCAGAATGCTGAATCAGAAGTGGAGTAGCTGAGACTTAAACGAGCTTTCTGACATGAGATGCTATGTTCAAAGCAGAGGCTTAACCCATTGTGTCACAACACCTGCCCTTGCAGGACTTTCTGTAATGATAAAGTTATACCTTGGGATTTGCAGCAGGCTGCTTTGGAGCTATGCCCTCAGCCTCCCCAGCAGGGTTCCTTAAAGTTACTTCCATGAACTTTTTAAGGGAACATTGCTTTTGAGGAAGGTATACGTCTTGTGTTCTTAGATTTTCTTTGTAGTAGAATAACATTCATTATAAGGTGGGTTTGTGTGAGCTGGATAGTAGAGGGTCTGCAGTCTATTCCTGAATTTAGACTCAATCACTTAGGAAGTAACAAAGCAGCAGAGGTTCTGAAAGGGAGCTCGCATTTGAAGTTCCCAAACCAATCCCCACTTGAGTGAAGCCTCCAGAAACTGTTGCTGATATAGGGTAGGGAAGAGGCTTGACCTAGCCCTAGAGTCTGGAACCTTTGAGTTTGGATCCATCTTGCGGAAGAAGTAAGGATAGTATCCCTTTCTCAGTAGAAATGTGCACAGAGAGGGATAACAGACACATCTACATACAATGTCAACTACTCAAATGTCTGACCTGCTCAGGTGATCGGGATCAGGACCATGACTGGGATCAGGACTGGAACAGGAGGGGCAGAAGCAGAAATGTAGAACCTCGAGACTGCTGGTCATACCCCAGGAATCCTAGAAGCAGTAAGTCACCTGTGTCATGTTCTCAGTTTGGAGGGGAACACGGTGGGGCCCTTCCAAGTCTCTGCCCCTCAATTTGGATTCTATGCCAGTGTGCTCAAAACTTGGTCTAAGACTTCCATACTGTAGTCTCATCTATGCAGGTTTTTTTTCCCATATATACCTTTTTTCACCTATATTACTCTACCATTATTTTTCTTAAGCTGACACTTTTTTGAGAGGCAGAGAGAGTTAGTTCTTATCTGTTCTACACTTCAAATACCCATAGTAGCCAAGGGGTGAGCCAAGCCTAAGCCAGGAGCTAGGAACCCAATCTGGGTCTCCAACATGGTTGCAGGTACCCAACTACTTGAGCCATCTCTTGGTGCCTTTCAGGTTGTACATTAGTAGGAAGCTAGAATCAGGAGCCAGAGTGAGGACTTGGACCCAGGCACTCTGATATGGGATGGGACATCATCCTAAGTGGCATCATAACCTCCAGGTCAAATGTTCATCCCACATTTTTTCTTCTCTTTACTAGAAGTTTCTGTATAAGAGTGCTACTACAAAAATTAAAGACTAGTATAAATCACCATAGGTAGAAGGTGTAATGAAATTGTTATATTAACTTATGAGTCTATAATAGCTTCATATCAAAACGTTATATATACCTAATGAGAACCTCTTAGGACATTCTCAGATTACCCTTCTTACCATACTAGTTTTCAGAATAAAATACTGTTAGATTTTTGAGTATTCTGTTCTTGAATGTATTTTTGCTTAAATAAAAGTTTTAGTACTTTATTTTTATTTATTTTTTGACAGAGTTAGACACTGAGAGAGAGACAGAGAGAAAGGTCTTCCTTCCATTTGTTCACTCCCCAAATGGCCGCCACGGCCGACGCTGCACCGATCCGAAGTCAGGAGCCAGGTGCTTACTCCTGGTCTCCCATGGGGTGCAGAGGCCCAAGCACTTGGGCCATCCTCCACTGCACTCCTGGGCCACAGCAGAGAGCTGGACTGGAAGAGGTGCAACCGGGACAGAACTACCGCCCCAACAGGGACTAGTACCCGGCACTCCAACTGGGACTAGAACCCGGGGTGCTGGCGCCGCAGGCAGAGGATTAGCCTAGTGAGCCATAGCGCCGGCCAAAGTTTTAGTACTTTTAAAAAAGTTTAAAAAGCAATGAAAAATAAACACATCATAACAATGTGAACTAAGTTGGAGCACTCTTCACCTCTGTGTGCAAGTGTTAGGAAAGTGGTGCATCTGAGTGCCTGGCTTGAGGCTTTCTTATTTGTGTGAAGAGAGCTGGGAAAGAACCAGCAGTCGTCATGTCAGTGTGTTGTTGATAATGTATACTCTCAAAATCATCTCTTGTTCTTTCTAGGCGTGGAGGATGCTGCAGTAGGTAGTGGGCCCTCTAAAATTGTGGTTTAGCAGTAATTCATGATGCTGTAAGTGCTGTACAGAGCAGTAAACCCTGCATGGTGAAGCTTCTGATCCCCTGTCCACGCCACAGTTGAGGAGACTGAGGATCAGTAACTGAAATATAGGGTTAGTGGGCACTATGCCGAGACCCACCCTTATGTCAGGGCAGCCTGCGAGAGTACAAACAGAAGAATGAGGGGAGACCCTGGCTCTGCCCTGGCTCTAGAATGTTCTGGGGCTGCTGGGTGATGCACACGCATGCATACACACTGGGTTCAGGGAAAATGTGGGAACCGCCAGGTTGGGCTAGGCCTTGCTTTCTCTCATTGCCCTTTTCTCTGCCTAGGGCTGCTTCAGCGAGATCTTTCCCTTCCTGTGATGGCAAAAACAAGTTTTGAAATGGAGAGAGAAGATGACAGGGACTCGATGGATTATGAGCCCCCATCCCAGGTATGCTCTGGTTTCCTCTCTTTCTGGAGATGCCATCCTCATTTCATGGCAAAGATGCCTTTCTTCCCCAGGTGATGTGTTCATCTGTCCCCTAAAGTCCCACGCAAGGCAAAGGGTCCCTGTTTGCTCCCTGTAAGGAGAATAGGGCCCATCCCTGTCCTTAACAAGTGTTAAGCAGCCGAGGTTGCTGCTGCCTGTTTTCTGATTGATTCATTCATGTAAAAGTCAGGCAGTCTTACCCCCTCGGTATAGGTATCACTAGGTAGATTTATTTATTTATTTGAAAGGCAGAGTTGGTTATTGCCTAGGAAAAGGGTAGCAGAGTGATTCTGGAGATCTTTCTGGTCCTCAGGAGAAAGCCAAGAAAGATACAGGGCTGCAAACAGACTTGCCAGGGAGCGCAAAGGCTCTGGAGCTGACAAGAGCTAGGCTTGAAGCCTGACCCTGCCACTTGCTATGTGTGTGGCCTTGGACCAATCACTTGACTAAGCTGAATCCTCAATTTCCTCATCTGTAAAATGGATGTAGTGATTGCCTCCCAGGACTACTGTGAGGAGTCAGTGAAATTCACACACACATAAACAGTGCTACTGTGCTGCCTGACACATGGGAGGCACGTTGTGAGTCTTACTGGTTATGGCAGCCATTAAGAGGCAGTGTAGGAGGGGGAGCTAGGTGAAGGAAACCAGGCTGTGAGATTTGAGCTGGTCCTTAAAGAAGGAGGAGAGGAGTCTTTGACACAGCAAAGTCTGCAGGAAGATCCTGGTGCCAAGGGGACTCAGCAATAAGAGAGGAGCCGGTTAAGCATCTGTCCCCTACTTCAGACATTTGGCCTGGACATGAGTACAGCAGTGACCACGGTAGATTGGGTCTTGGCCCTGAGGAGCTTTTGACGGGTGCACAAATAAACATGCGTGTCCTGGGTATAACTGCTGGTTGTTCTGAGTGCTAGAGGAAAAGTAGGGGGTTAACAAGAAAATGTAGCAGGGATTTTGGTTTGGATTGAAAGACAATGCCTTCAGGGCAATAACACTTGATATGCCATGGACGAAGAGTGAACTGGGTTAGCTGTTAGAGTGGAGAGGACCTCAGGCATTAGGGAGAGTCTGGCACAGCCTCTGGAGCAGAACTGGACAAAGGCCAGGCTGGCTGGGCCACCAAGGGAGGAGGTGGGAGATGAAGAGAGGCATGGGCAAGCCTGGTCACTAGTGTCTTGGTAGTTGGACTTTGTCTTGTTTTGCTTTTTAAATGATGTTCTTTGGCAATATATGAAAAATTGGCAACCAAGCAAGTCTCACGTCTGCATAGTCCAAAAGCCTGGAAGTTGCTGATGCCTACTAATTGAGCATAGTAGAAACAGCAGCGGCAGATGACAAAAAGTACATTGTGCGAGTATACAAATCAAATTTTTCTGATCATCCTTTGGCATCACGTGTAAATCTCTTTAAGTGTTCATTTGTGTAGGTCATGCTGTGAAGATTATGTTGTGCAGAGCAACATCTCTTCCAGTCAGACTTGCTTGTAGCTGTTAATTACAAACACCCAGTGAACAACTGTTTTAATGCTACCTGCATGCATAGTTATTTAATTTTAAGTCAGAGCATCCTCTATTCTTTCACAGGGGAAATGTAGTTCAGAATTTTTAAAAAAATTTGTTTATTTCTCTCTGTCTCTCTCACTGTCTATAACTCTACCTTCAAATAAAAAAAGATTTATTTATTTATTTGAAAGGCAGAGTTACAGAGAGGCAGAGGCAGAGAGGGAGAAAGAGAGGGACCTTCCATCCACTGGTTTACTCCCTATATGGCTACAATGGCCAGAGCTGTGTTGATACGAAGCCAGGAGCTTCTTCTGGGTCTCCCAGAAGGACTTGGGCCTTCTACTGCTTTCCCAGGCCATAGCAGAGAGCTAGATCTGAAGAGGAGCAGCCAGGACTCGAACCAGTACCCATGGGATGCCGGCAGTTCAGGTGGCAGCTTTACTCACTATGCCACAGTGCTGGCCCCCCCTCCCAAGTTCTTGATTTCATTTAATGTAAAGTTCTGGGTTCTGAGTTCCTCTGAGAGGAACACAAACAAACTTGTGCATCCACCCACTCTTTGAGTCCTCATAAAAAACAAGTGCCGAGTCCTCAGGAGGCACTGTTACCAGCCTGAATGCAATGCTTCTGCTCCTGTGGATCCTGCCCTCTGGTAAGATGAGACAGGCTCATTGTGAAATGCAGCTTGGCTTCATGAGATGATATTTGTGCCATCACAGTGGCTCCTGAGTTTTTGTAGCTTGTTTATTGACCCAGAAATTAGCTCTAACCTTGAAAGAACTTCATTTCTGAAACTGCTTCATTTTCTTGCCTTTCCTAGTTTCTGCTGTTGTTTTTGCTATTTAATGCCTGGATTTTTGTATTTGCATAAATGAGGCTTCCTTATGAAACCATGATGCCTGTGCCTCTTGTTCGTTCTCAATTAGAGATGCATCTTATTCTGCACATATTGTGGGGTTGTGGTTTTTTGCTACATTTTTTTCATGTTACTATAACATACACCCCTCTTTGCAGCTATAGAACTAGAGTAAATTTAGTATCACAACATCTGTATTTTCTTTATATAATCTTTCTTAAAACTTAAACAGCACATTACATTGCAGAAAATTTTAACCCATGATATTGCAAGAGAGATGCTCCTATTTCTGTTTTCACAGATGAAGAACCTGAGGCTCAGAAAGATTTCTGTTCCCAAGGTTGCACTGCCCTTAAATAGTGTGATCCTCCTTTGGCCCTAGAATTCTTTCCAGCTCCAAAGCCTGTGGGCTTCCCGTGGCACCATCTCCTTCCTCAAGTCTCTTTCCCAGCCTCAGTGCCATCCTCCCCCGGACCACAACTCACCAAAATCAGGGATAAGTGCAGCCCTGCACCAAGAGCCCTTAGGTTCCTGCAGAGCAGGCTATTCTTAGTAATGTGTGGAATTTTCAATTTCTGTGTTATGGAAATATCTATTAAAAACAGAAAGGGCAGTTATAAAATAAAGGCCCTTGGTGCTTATGGTTATTCTTGGGTTATTTTGAAATTTATACCCTAGAAGGACCTACAGTTTACTCATTCTATGCAGTAGAGGATTGTGGAGGGAAGTTTAAAACACATATCTGTCCATACGTCTGTTTAATTGCATCTTCTTTCTGTTCCCTAAGTATCCCTTACGTGTTTGAGATTTAATGATTTAAGTTTTCCTACCAATCTCCTTCTGTAGGTGCCGTAATCTCACCTTCTGCCTAGGGCCCCCATCTGAGGTCCTCTGAAAAAACCTTTGCTCACTGTTCAGGCCTATCCTGAGCTGTCCCTCTATGAAACCCATTTAGCACTTATTATCTGTACCCCAATTTACTGTTTATTGTTCTCTAATTGTTTCACGAGTCTTTTCTCTCCAACCAAATTATAAGCTGCATGAGGGCAAGGAATATGTGTCATGCGTCTTTGGGATCTGCCTCAGAGTGTAGCGCCAAGGTAGGTACGATGTAGGCCCCTAGTAACACTTGACTTGGATCACTCAGAACCCCAAATCCTGTGAGCACTTCCTATATAACTTTATATATGTAGCTCCCATGTCGCCAACATTTTTCTTTTCCCTTTGGACAATCATGAGCATAGACTCCACTTAGAGGTATGTGTTTGCTATTTTAGGATGTTGAGTCATACCAGAATGTCATGGACCTTAACGAGGACAGGAAACCTCAGAATCCAATCCAGGATAACATGGAGAACTACCGAAAGCTGCTGTCTCTGGGTAACTAGCTGATTCTAACATTTACTTCCTGCCCAGTCACTGGAGCATTTTGTCACCTTGTTCTTTTCAAGCTTCAGGATGTTAAGAATCCATGTTAATGTATTTAGACTTGAAATATAGTTAGAAGCCTTTGAAAATTTTCAACAAGGAAGTCAATGATGAGGTGAATTTTGAAGAAATTTCTCTGACTTTGGGTGAGGAATATATTGTATAGGGTTTGAGCAAACAGGGTGATGACTCTTGCCACAAGAGTTGATACTTTTTCTAGAGTTGTGACAGTGAAGAATTTTAAACACACAATTAAAATGAGCTCCTGAGCTCCTGTGTGTACTCCCCAGAAAGACATCTAGCCCAAATTGGCAGTAGATAGTTGGCTATGCAGGTCTAAGGCTGCAAAGCCTCGAGGAGCTCCATTTTTAAGACAGCAGGTAGAAAAAGAATAGTCAAGAGGTAGGAGGAAAACCATGGAGGCCAGTGAAAAAGTATATTAAGACTTAAGAAGTACTAATGAGAAGGAAAATTAAATGAAGATGCATTGAATTCAGGATTACTTCTGGTCTGTGTACCAATTTCTAGGTAGAATCAGGAGAATTAGTTAAAATGCAGAATACCAGGTTAAGGAATGGATCTTATGAAAGGCATCCAAACGTTGGACATGGGCTAGTGGCTCAAAGAAAGACAGAGATCAGTTTATGGTGATGAGTCTTGGTCCCTAACTTGAGCCATCATATTGTTTTGTGTGTGACCAGGAGTGCAGCTTGCTGAAGATGATGGCCACTCCCACATGACGCAAGGCCACTCCTCAAGGTCCAAGAGAAGTGCCTACCCAAGCACCAGTCGAGGTAAGCACTACACATCCTACACATGAGCCACACAACCAGTGAGATACATACCAAGGAACCTACATTTTACATTCCCCAACATTACAGAAATTGTTCTCCAAGTTCTGGTGTCATTTTATATAAGTTTGGGGACTAGGGGATATTTATATTTGGGGTTTCTTTCTAGGCCTGAAAACTATTCCTGAAGCCAAAAAATCAACCCACCGGCGTGGAATTTGTGAAGATGAATCTTCCCATGGGGTGATAATGGAGAAATTCATCAAGGACGTGTCACGAGCCTCCAAATCAGGAAGAGCAAGAGAGTCAACTGATCGTCCACAGAGGTTCCCCAGGATGTCAGATGAAAGCTGGAAGGATGTTTCCTTCACCAAGAGGGAATCAGTGATTCAGGAGAGGGGTTATGAAGGGAATGAATTTAGGGGAGGTTTTAGATTTAACTCAAACCTTGTGTCTAGAAGGAGAGTTCTTGAAAGAAAAAGGCGCTATCACTTTGACACGGATGGGAAGGGCTCGACTTGGGATCAGAGGGCCAGGAAGAAGCCCTTTGAATGCGGTAGTGAGATGAGAAAAGCTCTGAGCATGAGCAGCCTGAGCAGCATCAGCTCCTCGTCCTTCTCTGGGTCGCAGCCAGCTGACTTTGGAGCAATGCCGTATGTGTGTGATGAGTGTGGGAGGTCATTCAGCGTCATCTCAGAGTTTGTTGAGCACCAGATCATGCACACTAGAGAGAACCTGTATGAGTATGGCGAATCCTTTATTCACAGTGTGGCTGTCAGTGAGGTTCAGAAAAGCCAGGCTGGAGGGAAACGCTTTGAGTGTAAGGAATGTGGGGAAACTTTCAATAAGAGCGCCACTCTGGCTGAGCACCGGAAAATTCATGCTAGAGAGTATCTTGCAGAAAGTAATGATCAGGAATATGAGGAGGCCTTTATGCCTAGCCCAACCTTCAGTGAGCTTCAGAAGATCTATGGCAAAGACAAATTCTATGAGTGCAAAGTGTGTAAGGAAACCTTCCTTCATAGCTCTGCCTTAATTGAGCATCAGAAAACCCATGGTAGAGGGAACTTCAGTGATGACAAAGATAATGAGCGTGAGCGCCAGCGTGAGCATGAGCGTGGAGAAGCCTTTATGCCCAGCTCAGCCTTTAATGAGTTTCAGAAAATGTATGGTAAAGAGAAAATCTATGAATGTAAAGTGTGTGGGGAGACCTTCCTTCATAGCTCTTCTCTGAGAGAACATCAGAAAATCCATACTAGAGGAAACCCATTTGAAAACAAGGGTAAGATATGTGAGGAAACCTTTATTCCTGGTCAGTCTTTTAAAAGGCGTCAGAAAACTTACACTAAGGAGAAGCTATATGACTTTACAGATGGCAGGGATGCCTTTCTGAGCTCAGACATCAGTGAGCATCAGAAAATTCATTCTCGAAAGAACCTCTTTGAAAGCAGAGGGTATGAGAAACCTGTCATTCATAACATGCCCTTCACAGAATCTCAGAAGAGCCATACTATAACAAGACCACCTGAAAATGAAGAGGAGGAGAAGGCATTCACTATCAGCTCTAACCCCAGTGGGAACCAGAAATTTCCCCTGAGAGAAAATGTCTATGAGAGGAAACCATATGAGAGGTCAGTTATTCATAGCTTAGCCTCTACGGCAGCTCAGAGAAGCTACATTGCAGTGGGGCCCAGTAAACTGAAAGTGATTGCAGAGTCTACCTTTCAGAGCTCAAATGTTATCAGCTATCAGAAAATCCGCACTGGAGGGAACACCTATGAAGGAAAAGAATACAAGAGATCTGTAATCCACAGCTTGGCTGCTCCCAGGCCTCTGAAACGTCACATTGTAAGTGATCTGGGTGGATGTGATGAGAGAGGAGAATCTTCCATTTATATCTCAGACCTTAGTAATAAGCGACAGAAGATTCCTGCCAGAGAGAACCCTTATGAAAGTGATGTGAATAACAGTCATGAGGACTCTGTTTTACAGAGTGTATCCTATGTCAGACCTCAAAAAAGCCTTGCTGGAGAGGGATCTAGTGAATTGAAACAGGATGGCGAATTTTCTGTCCCAAGCTCAAGTGTCCGCCAACACCAGAAAGCTCGTGCTAAAAAGAAGTACATTGAGCATAGGAGCAATGAGACCTCTGTAATCCATTCCCTACCTTTTGGGGAACTGCAGCGAATTCGCCCTAGAGAAAGGCTCTATGAGTGTCAGGAGTGTGGTGAGTCCTTTGCTCGTATCTCTGACCTCACTGAGCACCAGAAGATTCACGATAGAGAGAAGCCCTCTGGAAGTAAAAACTATGAACAGTCTGTCATTCGCAGCTTGGCCCCTACTGATCCTCAGACAAGTTATGCCCAAGAGCAATATGCTGAAGAACAAGCACGCAATGAATTTAAGTTCAGGCAACGCTTTACTAACAGCAACAACCTTAGTACACATCAGAAAATCTATGCTCAAGAGAAGTCCCATGGTGAGGAGCCCCGTGGTGAGGAGCCCCGTGGCAAAGAACCCCATGGAGAGGAGACCCATGGTGAACAGACCCCTGAGGAGATGAATCCTGAGGAGGAGACCCATGGCCAGGAGACACCTGAGGAGGAGACCCGTGGCCAGGAGACACCTGGCAAGGAAACCCGTGGCCAGGAGACACCTGGCGAGGAAACCCGTGGCCAGGAGACACCTGGCGAGGAAACCCGTGGCCAGGAGACTGCTGGCCAGGAAACACGTGGTCAGGAGACTCCTGATGAGGAGACCCGTGGTCAGGAGACTCCTGATGAGACCCATGGCGAGGAGACTCACGGCGAGAAGACACCTGGCGAGGAGACCCGTGGCCAGGAGACTCCTGGCGAGGAGACCCACGGCGAGGAGACAGTTGAAGATGCTGTCATTCAGGGTTCAGACTTGGATGAGCCTCAGAAGGATGACCCTGACAACACAATCTATGAATGTCAGGACTGTGGGCTGGGCTTTGTGGATCTCACAGACCTCACTGACCATCAGAACGTCCACAGCACAAACACAAAATGTCTCGTTGACAGTCGTGAGTACACGCATTCTGTAATTCACACCCATTCCATCAGTGAATATCAGAGAGAGTACACAGGAGAACAGCTCTATGAGTGCCCAAAATGTGGAGAATCTTTTATTCATAGCTCATTCCTTTTTGAGCATCAGAGAGTCCATGAGCAAGACCAGTTGTATGCCCTGAAGGGATGTGATGATGGTTTTATTTCTCTCTTGCCTGTGAAGCCACGAAGGAATCGGGCTGCAGAGAGGAATCCCGCTCTTGCTGGGTCAGCCATTCGATGCCTTCAGTGTGGACAAGGCTTCATTCATAGCTCTGCCCTTAATGAGCATATGAGACTGCATAGGGAGGATGAGTTACTGGAGCAGAGCGAGATGGCTGAGGAAGCCATCATGTCAGGCCTAGCCCTCACAGAGTTTCAGGGAAGTGAAAGTGAAGAGAAGCTCTTTGAATGTACAATATGTGGAGAATGCTTCTTCACTGCCTCAGAACTTGGGGATCATCACATAAAGGTTCATAAAGATGAGCCTTATGATTATGGGCCCTCCTTCACTCATACCTCATTCCTCACTGAGCCTCTCAAAGGAGCTATACCATTCTATGAATGCAAAGATTGCGGGAAGTCCTTTGTTCATAGCACAGTCCTCACTAAACACAAGGAGCTTCATCCTGAAGAAGATGACGATGATGATGATGATGACGACAGTGCCCAGGCAGTTGAAGCTAATGTCATCGTTCCACAAGAAGTTCTGCGGATCCAGGGGTCAAATGTAGAGGCTGCGGAGCCAGAGGTGGAGGCTGCGGAGCCGGAAGTGGAGGCTGCTGAGCCAGAGGTGGAGGCTGCTGAGCCAAATGGAGAAGCTGAGGGGCCAGATGGAGAAGCTGCAGAGCCAAATGGAGAGGCTGAGCAGCCAAATGGAGAGGCTGGAGAAGCTGAGCAACCCGAGGGAGATGCTGACGAGCCAGACGGGGTAGGGATTGAAGACCCAGAAGAAAGAGTGGAGGAGCCAGAGGGGGATGCTGATGAGCCTGACGGTGCAGGGGTTGAAGACCCGGAAGAGGAAGGTGAAGATCAAGAGATTGAGATTGAAGAACCATACTACAACTGCCAGGAGTGCACAGAAACCTTTACTTCCAGTGCAGCATTTGGTGAGCACCTGAAAACTCACGCCAGTGTGATCGTATTTGAGCCTGCAGATGCCTTTGGAGAGTGCTCTGGCTACATTGAACGCGCCAGCACCAGCACCAGCACCAGCACCAGCACCAGCACCAGCACCAGCGCAGGTGGGGCCGATCAGGCTGACGAGAAATACTTCAAATGTGATGTCTGTGGGCAGCTCTTCAATGACCGCCTGTCCCTTGCTAGACACCAGAACACTCACACTGGCTGAGTGTGAAGGCTGGAAAACCTTCACCTAGAACTTGAACCTTATCACACCACAGAGTATTCAGACCAACCTATAATAACCTCATTATGAAACTTACCTTAGTATAGAGATGACTGACTTAACATCAGATAACTCAGACTGAAAAATGACTGGAGACTTTCAATCTTAGCTCTCCCCAATCAGACATCAGCATTTGCCTGTGGGAGAGCCATAGTACAAAGCTTAACTTTTCATCCAAGTAAGCAGATTGAGGAAAACCCTGAATATTCAAGACCACAGAGATTGCCCCCGACAATTGTAATGCTGCTCTTTTAACCTATATATAATGTTTCCTAGGGTATATATAAAATAGCGAGACGTAGCAAAACAGTGATCACATATATTTGGATTTAATATGATATACAATTAAAGTTTACTGTGCAAAGGTACCTTACCTGGTACTCTAGTTTTTTTGATTTTTTTCTTTGGAGGAGGAAGAGAGCAACAAATTAGAATATATTTCTAAGTGTCTTAGATCTTCAGAAAGATTTATTGTGCATTATTTGAACACTGTTGGTATCTTTTTGAGTAATCGTGTTTTGTTCCTTACCCTTAATAGTCTTGTGAAGGTGTAGGCATGAAAGATAGCATATCTCTTACCATGCTGTTTGAAAAGAGAAGTGCTTTTAGCTTCTTTCTGCAGCCATTTTGTCTGCACTCACACCTTGGAACCTAACGTGTAAGCCTTTACAACATGAGAATTGGTGTTTCGTGACCCAAATTACACAGTTACCACATTGTATGTACTTTCCAGTGATTCTCATGCAAAAATATTACAAGTTTGTTTCTTGTTTTACTTTGTTTTTAGGCTCAGTGTTTGTTAAATAGTGAATTCATGAAACCTGAACTTTTTCCCTGTAAATCTTACATCTTTGCCTTTAAAGAATGGGTTGCAACCATCACTAGATCACAGTAGTGCCTAATGAAGGTTGAAAACCGCAAGAGAGACTCTTATGCTGTACATAAGGATGCAGGCTAATGACCTCTCATCGCTTCTGCTGTGCGCTTCTGCCTTAAGTGACAAGTAGCAACGTGGCTAGGATCGCCTGTGTGGCGTAGGAATGTGCTGCCACCAATTAGTTTGCACCCTGGGTGCCCAGGAGCTAGTATCCTTAGATCTTTCTATCACTAAACTTGATTGTCCTCTTCTTTACCTGTCAGATCCTTTTACCCCATGTCTAACTTGCATTTTAAAAAAAATTTAAAAACAGAAAACAAAATAAAAAGCTTTCTTTACAGTCAACCCCAGCTTAACATGTACTCAGGTTCCCAGCAGCCTTAATTTGTTTCGTTGTCATCTGTTCCTTTAAGCCCTCCCAAGTATTTCTAAGCTATCCATTAGTGTCATGTTTGTCTGATCGCCTCAGCTTTCTTCTTAATCACAAATTGACCTCACAAGCCTGAGGTTTTGAAAACCCCTGTGTCTTTTTCTGTGGACCACCTGTGCTGTTTTGCTTCCCTTTCCCTCACATAATGGCTATATTAAGAAATTTTTTGGCCTTGAGTTGGCTGAAAAAAAATTTAAAAATTTTAAAAATCTTTAAAAAAAAAAGTGGATCTCTAGAGTAAGTGAACAAAAGATAAGTGCAGATAACTTGAGCAAGCAAAATTAAAATAACCCTCTGGGGAGAAATGTGTCTGAATCTTACTCCCCTAGATCTTTAGGATTAGGGCTCACAGGGAGTGTGAAAACTGCAGGGAATGCCAAAGTCTAGGGAGATTGTGGAAATGAGCAAGAAGCAACAATGACTAAACCAAAGAAGGGAGTCCTAACGTTTCAGCAGACCTAGGAGGGAGAGGAGACAGACAAAAGAAAACACCAGCAGCAAGGGTCGGAGGGCCAGGTTAGTGGGAATGAACTGAGTGGGGTGTCCTGGGCACTTTGGAAGAAGGGACGTTTCTGGTGGTGTGATGTACGTGAGGGCCAGCTGCATAAGAAGACCAAGGTTGGGACAAACATCTGGGGAAATGGGGAGTGAGGCACTGCGTTGGAAGAGGACTCTGGAAAAGGGAGTCAGTGTTGATACCGTGAGTTAAGCTTGGTAGGTTCAATAGTGTTGGCAGTGTTGATCAGTAGACCCTTTTCAGAAAGTCACTTGCCAAGAAGTCAGTGTGTCCATTCCAGCCTTAGGTTAATGAGAAATTAGGAACAACTGAAATGCCAAACAATAGGGGAATGATTAAGTAAATGTGTCCTTGGACTCTTATGCAGCTGTTTAAAAATGATAATCATGAAGAATTATGTAGCAGTGTAGAAATATATTTACAGGAATAGTAAGTGGAGAAAGCAGGACACAAAATTATATTTATACTACAATTATAACTGTTTAAAAACGTATGCTTATAGTCAAAAGCTGTTGTGTTATTGTAGGCTTATAGTTGAGCATTATTTTCTTAAATTCCTTGAATGTTCTTTATGGTAGTGTTACTAAAAAGTTTATGATCATGTTTCCATTGTGAACACAATTTGAACTAATTATCAAAATTCAGAAAAATTGGAGGAAAAAATTTCATATCGCCACCATCCAAAGGCAGTTACACTCTGCAGCATCTTGTTTATTCTAGTTTCTGTGCACAGGTTTATGATTATAACTGTGTCAAATATGTATTCAAAAGAGCTGTTAACCTTTGTAGAATTATCGTTAAATACTTTAATCTCAATTTTTTTCAAATGTTCTTTATAGTAGTATCCTGATAACAAAGCTTATTATGTATGTCTTTAACACAAGCATAATAGATACCCAGAGGAAAAATTAGAAAACACAGTAAAATTAGAAGAAAAAGAAATTCACCCATATTCCCAACACCCAACAACTACTGTTAAAATCTTGATCTATTTCCTCCATCTTGTTAAAGTGCACAAGCTTGTGATTCTAACAGTGTTAAATATGTGTACGTAAAGTCTAAAATGAAAAGAAATGTGGAAAATAATTAAAACAGTATTACCATTATGGGATTATGGTTAAATATTTTGTCTCAAATTCCTTGAATAATCTTTGGTGTTTCGGTAGTAAATTTTATGTATGTAATTTTCCATTGCTAATATAATACATACTCATAGAAAATCTTGGCAAATTCAGCAAAGTAGAAGAAAATTCACCCATATTACCAACACCCAGAATCAACTATTGTTAACATTGTGACCTGTGAACCAGTTGTGATTATTAGGGTGTTAATGACAAGTATGTGTATCAAAGATGGGAAGAAATATGGAAAATAAAAAAATAGTTGTGTGGTTGTGGGATTATAGTTAAGTATTTTGTCTTCAGTTTCCTTGGGTGGTCTTTATAATTGTGTTTTTGTAATCCACCTTTATTAACATGTATTTCCATTATATATGCAGTACGTGTTCATTATAGAAACTTTGAGAAAACGTAGACGAGAAACTCATCCATATTTTCACCAGCCAAAGACCGTGTGCTTAACATCGTGATAGATTTTTTTCATCTTGTTTCTGTGCACAGGTTTTTGGTTTGTTAATATGGTTGTGATTGTTCTATCTGTAATGGTGTCAACAATAAAAATAAAGTGAAAATTATGATATTTCTCAGTCTTTTTTGTCCATATTTAAAGTGTCTGGGATTATTAAATATGGTTTCCTGGGGGCCAGCATTGTGACATAGTGGGTAAAGCTGCTGCCTGTGATGCCGGCATCCCGTATGGGCTCAGTTTCGTGTCTCAGCAGGTCCATCCACTTCTGATTCATCTTCCTGCTAATGGCCTGGGAAGAGTAGTTAGAGATGGCTTGGCTGGTGCCACAGCTCACTTGGCTAATATTCTGCCTTCGGCGCCGGCACCCCAGGTTCTAGTTTCAGTTGGGGCACCAGATTCTGTCCCAGTTGCTCCTCTTCCAGTCCAGCTCTCTGCTGTGGCCTGGGAGTGCAGTGGAGGATGGCCCAAGTGCTTGGGCCCTGCACCTGCATGGGAGATCAGGAGGAAGCACCTGGCTCCTGGTTTCAGATCGGCGTAGCGTGCTGGCCACAGCAGCCATTTGGGGGATGAACCAATGGAAGGAAGACCTTTCTGTCTCTCTCTCTCACTGCCTAACTCTCCCTGTTTAAAAAAAAAAAAGAGATGGCTCAAGTATTCTGGACTCTGCAACCCACATTGGGGACCTGGATGAAGCTCCTGGCTCCTGGCTTGCAGCCATCTGGAGAGTGAATCAGCATATAGAAGATCCCTCTCTCTATCCTCTCTATAATTCTTTCAAATAAATCTTTTTTAAAATAGGGTTTTCTTGCTAAAGTTATAAATTCAAAAAGCTAGTGCCTCCTTAGATCTAAAAAAGTTTGGATTGATACTCTATTTTGAAGTATTGCATATTTCAACAATTATTTCTGAGGGACCTTTTAATACTTCTTGATTCCATTTTTTTTTAAAGATTTATTTATTTGAAAGGCACAGTGACAGAGAGAGGGAGAGATAAGAGTGAGAAAGATCTTCCATCTCTTGAATGGCTACACAGCTGAGGTTGGACCAGGCTGAAGCCAGAAGTCCAGAACTCCATCTGGGTCTCCCACATGGGTGGTAGGGGGCCAAGTACTTGGACTATCATCTGCTGCATTCCCAAGTGCATTAGCATGAAGCTGGCTGAGAAGCAGCTTCTGATGTGAGATGCCAGTGTCACAAGTAGAGAGGCTTAATACTCTCCATCACAATGCTAGCCCCCAATTCCACATTTTTAACTGCACCTAAAAAGTTAGGACATTTATTCCAGTAGTGTTTTTAAACTTGATAATAACCACAGTATATTTTAGTTTTGTGAGTGACAGAAATTTGATCCACTGTTTTACTCCCCAAATGCCTACAACAACTAGGGGTAGGGCAGGGTGAAGGCAAGAGCCAGGAGCAAGATCCCCATCTCCCATGTGGGTGGCAGGGGCCCAAGCACTTGAGCCATCATCTGCTCCTTCCAGGATGCATTAGCAGGAAGGTGGATTGGCAGCAGAGAAGCCAGGCTTAAACCAGGCACTCTGATAAGGGATACTGGCATCCTGAGTGGCAAATCAGCCACTGTACTAAGTGACTGCCCAAGGGTTTTTTTTTTTTTCTTCTTTTAATATTGTTTTAAAGGCAGATATACAGAAAGAGGAGGAGAGATAAAGAAAAAGAGCTTCCATCTACTAGTTCACTCCCTAAATGGCTGCAACAGCCAGGGCTGGGCCAGACGGATGCCAGAAGCTTCTCCCAGGTCCTGCATGAGTGCAGGGGCCCAAGTACTAGAGCCATCTTATATTGCTTTCCCAGGTGCACTGGCAGGGAGTTGGATCAGAGGTGGAACAGCTGGAACTTGAACCAGCGCCCATAAGTGATGCTGGCACTGTAGGTAGAGGCTTACCTTGCACACCACAGCACCAGCCCCTGCCCAAGTTTTTGTTACTAGTATTTTTTAGTTTTTTTATTTGAAAAGCAGAAAGAGACAGATCTTCCATCCACTAGTTCACTTCCCAAATCCCTGGGGAGGGATATCTTGGGAGGGACCAGGCTGAGGTGAGGAGCCAGGAACTCTATCCAAGTCTCCTATGAGGGTGGCAGTGGCCCAAGAACTTGAGTCATCTTCTACTGCCTCCCAGGATCAGAGGAATATCTGCCAGGACTCCAGAATGGCACTGTGACACGGGATGTGGGCCAAGCATTGGCAAACTTGCTATGCCACAACATCCACCCTGAGTGAGAATTTTTAATTGGAAATACGAGATTCTTTCAAACATTAAGGGCTCACGACCCCTCAACGTAAACTGCTATTTATGGCTGAGAATCTTTGTAAGGTGTCTGTTCCTAACTCTTGCCTGAAATTAAAAGGTGTATTCTCAGGAAGCTCCACTTTTGTTTGTTTTTTTAATGATCCCTTTCCTTCCCGTGCTTCTCCTTGCCTCCTTCCTTCCACAGAGAGAGGAAGAGATAGAGGGATCTTCCATCCATTGGTTCACGCCTCAAATGACCACCACAGCCAGGGCGTGCCAGACCAAATCCAGGAGCTCTCACATGGTGGCAAGGACCCAAGTACTTGGGCCGTCATCTGCTGTCTTCCCAGGTGCGTTAGCATGAAGCTGGATCAGAAAGTGGGGTAGCTGGAACTCTAACCAGCACTCTGATACAGGAAGTGGGTGTTCCAAGCAGTGGCTTAACCTGCTGTGCTACAATGCCTACCCCAGGAACTCTATTTAGTTACTAATCAGACTTTACCGCCCAGAAACATCCCATGCAATTTAACAAATTACCATCTCAGGGAGTTTGGCAGATAATTTTTAACCATATTTGCAATTCTATAATGATGAGGTTCTCAGCGTAGGTTTTTGTTTTGTTTTGTTCTTGGTTTTTTTTTTGTTTTGTTTTGTTTTTTTGTTTTTTTTTGACAGGCAGAGTGGACAGTGAGAGAAAGAGAGAGAAAGGTCTTCCTTTGCCGTTGGTTCACCCTCCAATGGCCGCCGTGGCCAGTGTGCTGCAGCCAGAGCATCGCGCTGATCAGAAGCCAGGAGCCAGGTGCTTCTCCTGGTCTCCCATGTGGGTGCAGGGCCCAAGGACCTGGGCCATTCTCCACTGCACTCCTGGGGCATAGCAGAGAGCTGGCCTGGAAGAGGGGCAACCGGGACAAAATCCGGCGCCCCGATTGGGACTAGAACCTGGTGTGCCGGCGCCGCAAGGCGGAGGATTAGCCTATTGAGCCACGGCGCCGGCCCTCAGTGTAGGTTTTTGCTAACTGAATCACTACTGACAAACACCATGCTTGGATCATACCTAACCTGTAACTGCTGTGTCCCTTACTCTAACTCAAGAGAGATGGTCATGGACTCCAGTCCTTCTGATCAGGTTGAGGCTGAGTATACCGATAATCAAAAAGACCTGGAAGGAGATGAAACAAAATGGCCAGATGGTATTTTGGTTCCTGATACCTCAGCCAGCGCCCTTTGGAGTCTGTCTGAACCACTTGCCCTTGGGTATCTTTTATAATAGATAACCCACTTTTTGACAAACCTTAAAAGAACTAGTGGATGTTGAATGAAGAACTGGTGGCATGGGGTGGGCGGGGAGAATAAACTAGAGTAGCATCCCAACCATGGTCTGCAGTGAAAAGAGAGCTCTCCCCCATTTTTGGTTTCTTGAATGGAGTAGAGGGTGGTGCCTTCACGTGCATGAAGCCATCTAGAAAGTTAATGAAACCTCCATAAACTTCACATGGAGCTTAATATCCATGTATCCTCCCCACTGACCAGATGTGTGGTGGCTGGCTGATCCCTCCAGACCCATTTCATCATCAATAGGCCAGTGCTGTTTATCCAATGGAATGCAGTCTTATCCTAGATACAGATTTTTCTTTTCATGCTAGCCAGCCTCTTAACATCTATGGATTTCCTGTATGGCTCACATACCACTTATATGCCATACACAGCACTTAATCAGTTATGCCAATGCAGAAATAAGCAAACTCAAAACCCCAGTGGGCCCTCAGTGCTCATTGCTCAAACATTTAAGGTCACATTAGGGCTGGCCAGGCAGCTCTACTTATCTTGTCCAGATTTCTTTATGTCTTGGAGATAGCTGGTTGTTAGATAATCTAGGCCAGTGATAGCTGGAGCTGCAGGGCTCCTACCCACATTTGTCATTCTGGGATGAGTAGACTACCTCCTCATGGTATGGCAGAAGTGCAAGACAGCAAGTGAGAGCAGGCCTCTTGAGGCCTCAACTTGGACTTGACATACTGTAACTCTTGGCCAAAGCCAGTCACTGGGGATGGAAAAGATAACCCACACGTAGGAGATGAATGCTAATCACACAGAAAGGAAAATTCTAAGTGGAGACATAGTAGCCTACATAGGTACAAACAGGATTTATTTTATTTTGAGAGAGAAAATACATCCACATGTGACACTGGGGTGCATCCTATGCAGAAGTACATGTCATGAGTAGGCCAGAAGATTGTTCATGGGGTGGGCGGGGAGAATAAACTAGAGTAGCATCCCAACCATGGTCTGCAGTGAAGAGAGAGCTCTCCCCCATTTTTGGTTTCTTGAATGCAGTAGAGGGTGGTGCCTTCACATGCATGAAGCCATCTAGAAAGTTAATGAAACCTCCATAAACTTCTCATGGAGCTTAATATCCATATATCTTCACAGCTTCTCCCCCTCCTGGTCTCAGATGAGACATGGAGGCATCTTGGGAAGGTGGGTATCTTTGATTTACAGCTAGAAGCTGCAGGACTGTTATGGATTCCAGCTCACTTAGACGGACCTAGCTGGCTGCCTATCCACACCACATCACTAAGGCCATGTGATAAAGGGAATGGATAGAGGCAGGAGTGAAGAATTGAGGGCATTAACACAATAGCCATACAATACACCTATCACAGGACTGAATGCCAAGACACTCCCTTCCCACCAGCATCCGCATGAAATGGGCATGGCCTAAGGAAAACTCAGGTTTGGTGTTTGACGAAGGATACCAATTCCATAAGCTGGAGAGCTATTTTACCAGCTTTGAAATATGCCCCCCAAAACGTATTCTGGGTCTATACTTGGAACGCAAATGCCCAGAAGCAAAGAAGTGAATGTAGATGTACTTTTTCTCATTAACACCAATTCTGATAATTCTTGCTTCTGTTCTTGCTGCTAGGGGCTCTGTTGATTTACAGATTTTACCACCCAACGGGATTTTCCATCAGGAAACACAACAGTGCCATGGAGTGAGAGACTGAGATGTCTCTCTAGCACTTGAGGACAAATAGAGGAATATTATGGTGATGGCGGAGGTTGGCTCTCATCAGCAAGGATAAATAGGGCTGCTGCTTGTTTTGGTTGTCTCTTACCATGTAACAAGTCTAAAACTTAATGACTTCAAATAGCCATGAAAGATCAAATAACCACAGTTCTGCGATCTGGGCTTGGCTCAGCTGAAATTCGGTTCTGGTCTTCCCCAGGGTCACTCATACAGGCCCAGCTAAGGCTACAAATGCAAAACAGTTTTCACTCCGGTGCTGTGATAGCTGGGGGCTGGGTGAGCAAGTGTCTCTCTCCACATGGTCTTGCTAGCAGAATACCAGCACCTCTTTACATGGTAGCTCAGGGATTCAAAAGGGCAAAAAGAAAGATTCCAGGCATCATAATTCCCAGAGTCATTGCTGACACTGTATCACTTCTACCATATCTATTGTTCAAAGCAAGTCACAAGTTAGCCCGGATTCATGGGAAGGAAGAACAGTCTTCACCTTCCGATGAGCAGAGCAGCAGAGAATGTATGGCCATCTTTATTCTAACAAATTGCTAAACATAGGAACACGGAGGATTGTGGGGGAAATCTAGGGAAACTACTATCAGGCACCATTATCCAAGAAGTTCCCTAAGGAGAGCTGATTTTTTTTTAAGAAGTCAGGAAACCAAGCATAATTGCACAGTGGGTTAAGCTGCCACCTACAATGCCAATATCCCAGCATCTCGAGTCCCTGCTGCTCCACTTCTGAACCAGCTCCCTACTAATGCACTTGGGGAGGCAGCAGAGGATGGCTGAAGTGCTTGGGCCCCTGCTACCTACATGGGAGATCTGGATAGAGTTCCAGGCTGCTCCCTTTGTCCTGGCCCTGCCCCAACCATTGTGGCCATTTGGGGAGTGAACCAAATGGTAGATCTCTTTCCTTTTCTCTCTCACTCTCATTCTCATTCTCTCTCTCCGACACTCCTCCTGTCATATAAATAAAATAAATCTCAAAGAAAAGAAGCCAAAGGATGGATGAGTCAGGACAGCTCTTCTTTTGTCTGCCTTGTAATCCTTTCAATCACATCACACTGCCTGACTTGGGTGAGCTCTGCCTCTTCATTCCTGTGATCTTCATCTGTACCTCTTCCTCATTCCAACCACAGGATGAGCAGGAGGCTTGGGGTAGACCAATCAGAATGTCTCACCCAAGAATTGAAATCTTTTGCAGAACAACTCATGGATCAAAGCTGTCATTCTGTGGCCAAACCTTAGAGAGACTGCTCGTGGTCCCTTTGATTACATTAACAAATATTCAATTACTTTTGTAGGGACCACTTGTTCAGCTCTTGACTCACTATTTGAGCTACAAAATATTATTCCAGTAAAACCCATTTTCCCTTGTCAGTTATCCTGAGTGAGTTCCTGTTGCGTGCACACAGAGGGTCCTGACTACGGCAGGCATGGTTTCTATTTCCCTGTCTGATCCACCGATTACCTTCACAAGCTCGGGGAGCCTTCTTTCCAAAGGAGTTTTGTTCCATCACAGCTAAACATGTGGGAAGTTCCTATCTGCATGCTGCAAATGGGAGCTCATCTCTGGACTCTGATTTAAATTCTCTGTGCTCCCTTTTCCCAGGTCCCATCATGAGGAAGCTCAGAGAGAGATCAGTTGGTCACTCACCTACTGTTCTGAACTAGGCATCCAGGAACACTGAGAGAAAAGTCAACTTTTATTTTGGTTTATGCCCGCATTCTACCTTTTACTAAGGGAACCATAATGTCTCATCTCCACACGATGTTTTAGATTTTTTTCTGCCTCTGAGCTGCTAAATGGTCATCATTTGCTCTATAATTCTTGGGCATTTGTGTCAGCTACTGTTTTGGGTATTTTGGATTCTGTGGGAGACAAACCAGACAGGTCCCTGCCGTTATGGAATCTATTTTAGCTGCTAAAACAAAACACCTCCAACTGAGTACTTTCTAAACAGCAGACATTTGTTGCTTACAGTTCTGGAGGCTGGGAAGTCCAAGATCAAAACAACAAAAGAGTTGGAGTCTTTTTTTTTTTTTTTTTGACAGGTAGAGTTATACACAGTGAGAGAGACAGAGAGAAAGGTCTTCCTTCCGTTGGTTCACTCCCCAAATGGCCACTACGGCTGGTGCTGTGCCGATCTGAAGCCAGGAGCCAGGTGCTTCCTCCTGGTCTCCCACGTGGGTGCAGGGGCCCAAGCACTTGGGCCATCCTCCACTGCCCTCCCGGGCCACAGCAGAGAGCTGGACTGGAAGAGGAGCAACCGGGACTAGAACCTGGCGCTCATATGGGATGCTGGCACCACAGGCAGAGGATTAACCAAGTGAGCCACAGCGCCGGCCCCAGAGTTGGAGTCTTATGAAGGGCTTGCTCTCTGCCTCAAACATGATGCCTTCCTGCTGTGTCCTCACGTGGCAGAGGGTCTAGCTGGCCCCCTCACCTCTCTTTTGGAAGGGCTCTATTCCCCTCACAAGCGCTCAGCCTTCATGATCTTAATACTATTTCATTGTGGTTTGATAATGAATTTGAGGACACATGAACATTAAGACCATAGCAGTAGGTAAGAGGAAGAAGACAGTGACAAAAACTACTCATTGCCTCCTGACATAACACTCATCCATTCTTCTCAAATATTGGCTGGGAACAGGGATATTCAGAATAAGCAATTTCTTTTCAGCCTCCCTGGCAGATAGATATGACCATGTGACTAGTGTCTGGTCTAGGAAATAAGCACAGTAAATTTAGGTGTCATTTCCAGGTTACAACAAGCTCTTTTCTCTCCCTTCCCCACAGCATGGAATTGCAAGACAACAAGCTCTTTTCTCTCCCTTCCCCACAGCATGGAATTGCAAGATGAAAGCTGTGTGTTGAGGATTTTGAAGTAACAAAACAGGAGCATATGTTTCTGATGATTTTTGACTTAACCTAGATTACTTGATAAGTCATTTGATTTGTTATTCTGAATAGTGGCTTCAAGTCCATTCAGCACTCCAAGCCCTATTCTGGTGGGATCTTTTTAAGAAATGTTTATTAATATAAAGAGAACAGATTTTATGTATTTCATAGATACAATTCTAAGAAGATAACCATACTTCCCTCCCTCCCTCCCCAGTTGCAATCTTACTTACTCCCAGGCTTGCTTGTACAGAAATGTTCTCAAGGCAAGAATGTGGTTGTGAGAATTGTTCTCCCAACTGAGTGGTGTCAGTTGTTTAGGATGGCTTTGGTAACCAGTAATAGGATGCTGAACTGCCAAGGTTAGACAAAGTACAATTAGGGCTTCATTTAATAAGAAGTTCTCTTATTAAATGGCTTCATTTAATAAGAAAAACACGTATTCCAGGCCAGTGGGCTCTATGATAGCATCAAAGTGTCACATCCCTTCCACTGTTCAATTCTGCTACATTTCCTATCATGATTGTACAGTGAGGCACATCATAGATCTTAATTCTGTGTCTCATCTTACAGTCATGAGAAGAGACATTGCTGATGGAGAAGAGACATTGCTGATTCATGGAGGCATCTAAAAGCACACAGAAAAAAAATGAAAAAATAATGTAATTATGAATTACAAGTTTAGACATAGAATTACATGATCATGTAATATATAACAATATAGCATTGCAATGATTTTATAACTTATAATTTTGCCCATCAGGTGGAAAGTCTGTTCCACTTTAATTTTTCACCCAGAATTGTGTAAGGTAAGCCAGCTGAAATGCGTATGGTATTGATTATTGTTTCTGCTATCCATCATCAGTCTTTTTCAATTACAGCACGAATAGGATAAATTTTTCCCTCACAGACTGATGTGGATGGCTTGTCACTGTGGGCTTTATCTTCAATACCATCTCATCCTCTCTGAAAATTAGTTATCTATTTATAAGCTGTTGATTTTTGGTCACTGTCCCCATAAACTTTTCATAAAGCATCACTGATTTCACCATTCTTCCACCCAAGCTTCACTAGAACGTTGATGTTTGTCCTTGCTTCTATTTTATTATAACAAGTTAGCACAAGGTTATTTTGGTGCAAAAATTTTTTGAAATTCATATGTATTTTTTTTTTGCTATTTTCCATGAACTTTTAAAAACACTCCTATAAGTCAAGGTCAGGCAAGGATAGGCATTGTGAAGACATTTAGAAGTGATTTAAAACAACATGTGTTTATTATTTTATAGTTCTGGAGGTTAGAGTCTGAGATAAACCTCACAGGGCTAAGCCCAAGGTGTCAGCAAGGCTCTATTGCTGATAGAGGCTCTGGGGAGAATCCATTCAAGGCCGCCTGCATTCCTTGGCCAGTGGCCTAGCTCCATCACCCCTACCTTTACTTCTGATATCACATTTCCTCTCTCCGCTTGCAACCCCTTCTACTTTCCTCTTAAGGAAGCCTGTGAGTACATTCAGGCCTCACCCAAGGATAATCTCCCTCAGCTGTCAGGATCCTTAATTTAGTCAGATTTGCAAAGTCCTTTACCAGTCATGGAAGGTGACATGTTCTGGGGATTGGCTTGTGGACATCCTTGGAGAAGCACCATTATACCTGCTACTCTCCTTAGGGAGGGAGTAGGCAGGGTATTGCCTGCATCCTCCTGTGGAGTGAGAAAGAGAAGGATGTTCTCATGGATGGTTCTCCTAAGGTCAAATGTTGCTGGACCAGTGGTTAGGAGCACCACCCTAGAGCCAACCTTTCTCTAGGAGCTGGCCACTACACATTTACCAGCCACGGCACATCTCAGAAGGTGAATACTGGACAATAGGAGAGGTTTGGACATGTGGTAGGTGATCTGGGGAGAGGTTTCAAGTACTCAGCCTTCTGTTCTTGATTGGGTGCTGTCAGGAAGTTGCAGTAAGCCTATGGTTGGGCATCTTCATGATCTCAAAGGTGGATTGAAGCTATCACTGGCAAAAGAGCAGCTTCCTGGGAGAGAGCAATGCATGGTTATATCACTAAGGACAATATTCATGTTTGGTTTGTGCCCAGACAGCTTGCAGAAAGGTTGTGTTCATCTTGCTGTCCCCATAATTACAGAGTAGCTTTGCCTGCTGTTGATGTTCTATGAGATTGCTTATGTCCAACAGGCGAACACCAAGGTTATTTGTGGGTGGCAGGTTAGCTCCCCAAGCTGAGAGCAGTCAGGAGCTTACCCAGCTTTGACTATCCACCTAAGCACAATCTGGTTTCCAGTATATGCCACCTGCTTCCCCCCACCCCATTCTTTCCCATATGAAGCAAATCCACATTATATTACTTCATCTGTCAGCACTTGGGTTTGTATCTCTATGGGGCATATGACCCAGGTAACCACCAATGATCCACCCCTTTGAGTGTCAATGCAGCCTGTTGCTTGCTTCTGTTCAGAGGAACATGGCACAGGTGATGGGACATTGTCCTGTGAACTTACATCAATTTATAGGCTGAGCAGGTTGAAAAGGCTGAAAGGGGACATTCTCCTTTATGGTTTGAAGTAGGCTGCCGTGACAGCCACCTCGAAAGTAGGGGGCCTCAGCCCTACAGCCACAAAGAGATGAATCAGCCAACTAGAATGAGCTTGGAAACAGAGTGCCTCCCTTCCCCTCCCCCTCCCCCGGGGGGTGGGGGGTGGGGAGATGAAGCTGCAGCTCAGTCAGCACTTTGATTATGTTTTGCTGAGTCTTCTGAGAGGATCCAGCCAAGCCTGGCAGAACCCCTGAGCTACAGAAACTGGGGGTTAAGACTTGTGTGTTGTTTTAAGCCACAAGCTTTGTGATAATCTGTTCCATGACATAGATGACCAACGCAATCTCTAAAAAGAAAAACTCTCAGGTGGACACACAAAAGTGGGTGGGAGAACATGTAAAGTAAACGGCCACTACACGAATCCACAGGAACCATTCTCACCATGCGGTTGTTTGTTTCAGCTATGCCCCCACCTACCTTTTCTGCCCTGCGTCTCACCCGCCCCCAAATTCTTTTGAAGCAAAATCAAAATATCACGTCATTTAAACCATATATGTTTCAGGATTAGTATGTATCCATCAAAGACCAAGGCTATTTAAAAAATAAATAGTTCCAATACCACTATTAAACTGAAAATAATTCTTTTTAAGTGTCGGCTCTCATGGATTGCTCAAATTCTCCCCCAACTTAGCAAAGACAAATTCTTAAAAGTCCATTTTTGCCTCACACGAGAGTAACATAAACCTGTGATCATGCTGAATGTAGTTTTTTCTTTTTCATTTTCACGAATACGCAGAGCTGCGGGGACGGCAGGACCGGTCTGTGCCTCCTGCAGATCCACACCGCGCGCACCGCCCAACCCTAGGCTGTGCGGGACCGCCTGTGGGGCGCCGGGCTCGCCTGCCGGCCACACCCCTCGGGGACTACATTTCCCAGGGGGTTCCGCGCGCGGCCGCCCGCACCCGGGCCCCTGAGAGAACCGGAAGCAAGGGCGCGGTGGGGCGCGGGGCCTTTCGGGATATGTAGTCCTGCGGACGGCGCCCCGAGCTCAGGGATCCGCGTTCGGATGTAGCCGCCAGCTAGGGGTCTGTTCCCGGTGCAAGCGTGAGGTGCGCCGCGCGGAGTCAGCGCAGGATAAGAAGTGGGGCTGGCTAAGGATGCGAGGGTGCGGGCGAGGTGTCCGAGACCCGGCGCCTCTGCACCTGCCAGTCGGGGCTGAGGGAGCGTTGGGCAGCGCGCTGAGGAGAGTGACAGCGCTAGGTCCCCGCCAGGAGCCTGACGCCAAGGATGCCAGGTCTGGAGCAAGTGTGAGTGAGTGACGCGCTGGCCTCCAGGGGTCTGCGCGGGGAGGGTGTGGCCCTGCGCGTGACCATCGCTGTCAGCCGGGTGGGTTTTGTGGGATCCCACAGTCGGGAGTTCCGACTCGTGTGTGTGCGCCTGCGTCCGCTCCGCTCAGACTGTGGTTGGAGCCCTTGGGTGTGAACTTCTGTCACACAGGGTAAGTGAGGCTGAGCTGTGGGGATTTTGTAGCTGTCCACCAGAGTACTTGAAGAAGTTGGTGGGAAAAAATGGAATTAAAAGATAAGTTTATTTAGGCGCATAATTTTTGAGTAATTTTGCATAGGTTCTTTTTTCCCGCAATGTGCATTTTTTTCCTTAACTTTTTGAAGACCCCTTGTATGAGTGGGTTTCAAATAGTTTTTGCAGCAAAATAAACTTATATTTTAATTCTCTTTTTCATGAACATTTGAAAGTATCCTTCCCTGTCTGTGGTTGCCTCTGACTCCGACTGTCTACCTAAACTGGGGTAGTCGGCTGTGTCTGAGACTGGGTCGGGCTGAATGCATATGTGTTGCATTCTTGTTCAACTGTGTGAAGGTGGTCAGGTCTGATTGTGTGAAGTTGTGTGTATCTGAGTATGGGTGTTTGTATCTGAGTAAGCGGGGCTTGCGGGTCCGATTGCATATGTAGAGTTGTGAGTTTGTTCTGTTACTGTGCCTTCTGGTGTGCATTTGTGTGTACCTTAGGATGTGTGTGCATCTGTGTGGTTGTGTAGATTTGAGCCCAACCCTGGGAGTTTGGGTGCATCTGTGTGTGTCTGCAGAGTTGGAGTTGTGTCTGAAGGTGTGTGTTTGTGTGCTTTTGAGTTGTGTATGATTGGATGAGTCCATGGTATTTGCGTGTCTCTATGATGTTTGTATGTTGGGATGTGTAAGAGTTTTTGTATGTCTGTGTGAGTTTGTGGTCAAAAGCACGAGTCTGGGTAGGTGTGGTCATCCACACTCCCCGGTCTCTGTGGATACTTCTTAAAGCCCAAGCCCTGGGGGCTGAGACGCACCAAGCAAGCCCGCCTCACTCTGTCCAGCGGGCCAGCAGCCAGTGGGAAGCCCTCGCAGATTTAGACTCCAGGCCTGGAGCACAGTCCCCTGGCTGCAGCTCCAACAGGACCGCCCACTCTCAAGCCTGGGGCTCCCACTATAAGATAGCCACAGAGAGCAGACGGAGGTGCCCAGCTGACCAGCACACACCTGCCACAGACCCTCGGAGGCCGATGTGGGGACGCGTCTCTGGCCACTGGCAGCTGTGTTGGTGGATGTCTCAGGTGTGGAGGAAAGGACTGTGGGGGTTCCTTCCAGGACGCAGGGTGCCTGGTCCTGATCGGGGCGGAGTGGGGATCTAGGAGGCAGAAGAGTCATGCCTGGGTCTGTGCTGGGCTGCTGGGGAAGGCAGAGGACAGACACCAGGTGGGCTCTGGCACATGGCACAGCCCGGTGAGGGTCGCGGGGTTCAGGTGCTGGCTTGGCCAACTGCATCTTGGAGAATGATTTTGGGAAGGGAGCCTGAGGTAGTCTGGGGATGTGAGCAGAGACCACGCCGCTGGTGTCTAGGGCTCAGTGGGCAAGAAGCCAGAGGAAATGGTGTAGGTGCCTGTAGGGGGTTTCACGCTGCAGGCTGTGGTTGGGCTGCGAGTCCTGGGTGCATGCACCTAAGCAGGGTCGCCACCAGGGACCTGGCCAGGCCAGAATGAGGGGGCCCTGCGGGTCAGGAGGTGACTTGGAGTTCTGGGGTGTGGGTGTGCAGCCTGCATGGCTGTGCAGGGCTCTGCGTTATCTGCCAGCAGTCCCCGGGTTGAGTGGGTGAGTTCCGCTGAGTCTTTGGAGGTGTGCCTGCAGATGCTGTGTGTCTGTATACTTGGTGCCCTCGGCGATGATCTGAAATTGAGTGTGCTCCCACGGCAGTGTGTGTCTGTGTGAGCATGAGCTGCTGAGTGCATGGCTGTGTTTCTGCACCTGAGCTTCTGTGTCTGGGTTTGCCGTGAGTCTCATCATTTGAAGTTGTCCCTGAAGGTGGGAGGGTATGTCTAGGCTTCTCAAAGTATGTCATTGTGAGTAGGAGTGTGTGTGTAGCGGGTGCCACCCAGGGCCTGGGGGACAATGTGGGTCTGACAAACCCACCAAGGCCCAACCTGGGTCTCCCGAACCCCCTGACAGTTACCGGCTGTCTGAAGCTCTGTGACCTGTGTCTGAAAGCTCTGGCCCAGAGGCTGGACTCACTGGGAGACGTGAGACAGGGACATGGTGCAGGGAAGCTGGGGCCAGAGTGGAGGAAGAAGTTTTCAGCCATACCTAGTAACAATAAAACCGAAGCCAGCATAGAAACTGCCAGTCTCTCTGTTCAGCCCTTTGTTTAATCCTCACATTTCATCATTTTTTTGTCTTCCGTTTTATGGAGTAGAAAGCCAATGGGGTTAAACAGCTACCTTGATACTCAGGTTGCTGGTGAAATACGAGATGCCCACTTAAACCAGAATCTCACATCAACAGTGAATTACTCTTTCCAAATACAGCATGGGATGTACTTATTCTTAAAATTTAGCAAAATAAATAAAAGATAGTTTTGTCACAGATATGCTCCAGGCATTACTTGGGATATTCCCGCGCTTGGCATTTCTTTATTCTTTATCTGAAACACCATTTCCCTGTGTACATGAACGTGCATTTCCTAAGTCGGGAACTCCATCACTGAAGTCTCATGGCCAGAGAGTAGCAGACTGAGAACCTTACCACCATCCCATGCCCTACTGCTGTGACCTCGGTGGTACTCAGAGGGAGGCAGGGGTCCGGGGGAACCTGCAGCTGAGCATCCTAGTTAGGCTTTTCTGCAGGGCTGATCTTACCCCATCTAATGTGCTGAGGGGTCACATGAAGGAACTCATATATCACCCCCATTTCAGTGTTCAGGGCACAGAGGCAAGATAAGTCAGGGCCACTTTCCCAAGACTCGGATCTTGCTGGGTCTGACAAGAATGGGTTCATCTTGGTGTCAGCAGCATTCACATAATTTTCTACCTTTTTTTTTCTTAAAGTGGGACCCTCTCCAAGCCCCAGGCCCCACGATCCCTGGATCTGTGCTTGCCAACGAACACTCTGCACACATCATTTAGTTGACCTACAAAGAGACTTGTGGAGGGCGACATTGCTGTCATTCTGCTTTCTGGTTGAGGACACCAAGACTTGAGGAGGTGACATCATCTACACAAGACCCCCCAGCTGCCTTGTGCTGGATCCGAACCTGGGTCATCTGGCTCCAGATCCCTCACCCTACCAGCTCTGCCTGTGATACACCCAGTGCTGCATCTCCGAGATGAAGACCAGTGGAGGTGAGAGATACATGGGGCAGAAAAGAAATGTGGGACAAGCAAGAGAGAGGAGGACCTACAAGGCGTGGGTGATACAAAGAGCATTTAGATTCAGGATCTACCCCACCCCCAAAATATCCTCCCATTGGCTCTTCTCAGGCAGGAAGGGTTTCAGGTGCACCCGGGATGGAATTGCATGGATATTTAGGTCACGCTGACCGATCCTGGCATTGCCCTGCAGGGATGCGTCTTGACAGCTGGAAGAACCTGAGCTCTTCATTGGTATTGAGCCCTCTCCTGGGGTCTGACTATGCAGCTCAGGGGACCATGGGGTAACCCAGGTTGGAGATGATGGTGGTCAACCCAAGCAGGTGGCAACGGGGATGGTCAGGATTGTTTGGCTTGGGTCTAGGTCATGGATCCTGGTGGTGGCTTCACAGGGTGAGGGAAGGCTTTTGGGCTTGTTGTGATGCCACTTGTTTGAAACCTTTTCATTTAGAAATAATTACATGTTCATAGGTAGTTACAGAAATAGTACAGGGCTATCGTATGTGCCTTTGACCCAGTTTCCTCAATGGTTCCATTCTACCTGATGGTAATATGACACCAAAAATGGGAAACAAATATGGTAACAGTGTATGTACACTACTCAATGTCATTCATAGTATCGTGTGACCATCTCTGCTGTTAAGGTACTGGAAACTGTTCTTCAAAGTGATGGTGAAAACAAAACCATCAGTTCTGCGCAGAAGCCTCCCGTTACTGCCCTAGCTAGACTGGCACCTCAGACGTTTGCTGTCACTCCTCTCCGTGGTGTCTTATCAAGCTTCAGTGTCCTGATTTGGTCTTTGGCTCTTTTCCTTTCTAAGATGTCAGCCTGAAAAAGGCAGGAACTTTTGTCAGTTTTGCTTCCTGCAGTATCACCCGTGCCTGGCAGGGTGCCCCGAATAGAGTCGAGCTCCACGGTCTGTAGTAGAATAAAGGGATGAATCCTGCTGTACCAGTCACGATAGTGACCAGTGCCCAGAGAGGTCAGGATGTGTAGAATCATACAACAGGCGTGCACATGTGTGTATACACCTGCATGTATGTGTGCATACACACGCATCGATGTGCATTCATGAGCACACTTGTGTGCAAGAGTGCATGCATGTTTGCACACTGGGGTGTGACAGCTCTGCAGGGAGCTGAGCTGAGAGGGAAGTCTCCTTCCTGAGGAGGAAAGAGCCTCATCCCAGACATTAGTGTCCTCCTTGTCCTGAGTGAACCCCCTTCCCGAACCTCCAGTGGTGGGGGGTGCGTGGGAGTCAGGGTGGTCCCTGGTGGTCCTGGGAGTCAAGGTCAAGGACACAAACGGCTCAAAGGGATCTCTGCTTTGGACCACCCAGTGCTATGAATATGTGTATCAAATGGCTCTAACAAAATCATCTCTTAACTGTGTAAATTTAATTTATCTTAAAAATTATTGATGTTTTTATTTTTTATTCATTTGAAAGGCAAACAGACAGAAAGAGTGAGTCAGAGATGGACAGAGATCTTCTATCTGCTGGTTTACTCACCAAATGCCCACAGCAGCTGGGGCTGGGCAAGGCTGAAGGTGGAAGCTTAGAACTCAATCCAGGTCTCCCACCTGTGTGGCAGGAACCCAGGTACTTGAGCCGTCACCTAATGCCTCCCAGGGTGGAATTGGGGACAGAACCAGGACTTGCACTTACTCAGATATGGGGTGTGGGCATCCCAAGTGGCATCTTAATTGCTGTTCCAAATATCCTCTCCCTTAATCTATTTTTTTCCTGGAAAATATTTGTTGATGTATGGCCAAAATGTAAACAAGTGAAAAAAATAAAGATAAATTTCTAGACAGGGCTTTAGTTTCACAGGAGGGTGCATGTCATTTCTCCTTGAAATGATGCTCTATTATGTGTCCAGTTCTCTATTAACTGGAAAGAAAATAGGAGGGAGACAGTGGGAGGAAAGGGGGGAGGAAAGGAGTATCATATGCTCTTAGATGTGTATCTACAAGTTACATTGAATCTGTTAAAACTAATTAAAATTTAAAAATGTGAAAAACTGGGCTGGTGCCGTGGCTCAATAGGCTAATCCTCTGTCTTGTGGCGCCGACACACTGGGTTCTAGTCCCGGTTGGGGCGCCGGATTCTGTCCCGGTTGCCCCTCTTCCAGGCCAGCTCTCTGCTGTGGCCCGGGAGTGCAGTGGAGGATGGCCCAAGTCCTTGGGCCCTGCACCCCATGGGAGACCAGGAGAAGTACCTGGCTCCTGCCTTCAGATCAGCGCGGTGCGCCGGCCGCAGCACGCCGGCCGTGGCAGCCATTGGAGGGTGAACCAACGGCAAAAGGAAGACCTTTCTCTCTGTCTCTCTCTCTCTCTCTCTCTCACTGTCCACTCTGCCTGTCAAAAAAAAAAATGTAAAAAACTAAAAATAAACAAATATTCATCAACAGATGAATGGATACAATCAAATACTACTCAGTAATACCAAAGAATGACCTTCTGATATGCCTAGCAACCTGAATCAGTTTCAAAGACATTACACTGAGTAAAAGAAACCAGATGTAAAATAACATCCTGAATGATTCTATCTGTATTAAACCCTAGTGCATCAGAATTCATCTGTTTGATGGAGAGCAGATCACCTTTGCCTGGAGTTGGGAGTTAGGCAAAATGCCACAAGGAACTTTGGGAGGAGATGGAAATATTCCATATTTTAATTAAGGTGTGGTTACACAGGTGTATATATCTGTCGATACTTATCGAGTTGCACACTTAAAGTGGATGCACTTATTACATGTAAAACACACCTCAATATTCCAAACCTTGAATTGCTCCTGAGTACTACTGAATAAAATATAAAAATAAAAATAAACATATTTTAAACTCTAGTTAAAGACTTGGGTGTGAAAATGCTTAGTGGGAATTAACTAAAGTCTGCAATTTACTGTGAAATGCATCTGCAAAAATAAGATGGATGGATAGACGGATAGACATGCAACAAATCGGGCATAGCAGAATGGGTGTTTGGGCAATTATTTCAACTTTCCCTGTGTTGGAATATCTTCATAGTAAAACTTTGGGTGTCAGGAGGTACATAATTACAATTGCAAGGTGCAGAAGACTTCAAAGTTAAAAGTAACCTTGCCTCACTTCCCTCAGCCTTCTGGTTCCTTACCCAGATACAGCTACTTTCCAGTGTCTTGTACTACCTCCAACAAGTTCTGTGCTCACACGACTATGTGTCTGTGTCTGTCACTGTGTATGTGGGGACTTCAAAATGCTCTTGGGAAACTGGACAAGTCTGGAGCAGGTGTTTGGCCTAGCAGTTAAGATACTGGTTGGAGCATCCATATTCCGTATTGGAGTGCCTGGGTTCCATTCCTGACTCACTCCTCACTCTGACTTCCTGCTAATCAGACCCTGGGAGGTAGCGAAGATAGCTCATGTCATTGGATTCCTGCCACCACAGGGGTTACTGGATTGAGTTACTGGTTCCCAGTTTTTGGCTCAGCCTAGCCCCAGACTGTTTCAGGCATTTGGGAAGTGAGTCAGCAGGTGGGAGAGCTTGCTCTCTCTCTCTCTCTCTCTCTCTGTCTCTCAAAATTTTTGTGCTGCAATGAACTTATCTTTCAACTCCATTTTGACAATCTTTTGGAAGTACACTTGTATTTGTGAATAAATATTTCCACACTATGCACATCGTTCTGGGTCTCGGTTTTGCTTCTTTGGTAGTTTTATGAAGCATCAATACGTTCCTGGCACTTGGTGAGTACTCAGTGCCTGCCAGCTCTTGTCAGGTGTTTTATGAGAGATTCACCATCGTGAGTTTCCCAGCTCTCCAAGGCCAAGGCAGCCTCACTTCTGCTTCCTCCTCTGCCAGCCTTGCCTTCGCAGAATCCTGCTCAGACACCAAGCAAGCTCTTCCAAAAGAGCAGAAGAATGCGGGCCAGACTCCTGCCAGCCTGGAGAGAGGTGAGCTGTTTGTCCCTCCCTTTGACAGAGGGCAGCTTGGTGCAGAGATGACCATTCACCACCCCCTGCCCAACACAGACCCTGGCCAGGAAGGGCATCCGCTGTACTCCCACAGGACCAACACCAAGGGGAATGGTTTCCCCTGGAGAGGCTCACCTCTTTCCTGCCTCCTACTGTTTCCTAACTCCCATCTCTGATCATGTGTCACGCCCTCCTTGAAGCCTACCCTGGTTACCTCTGCTCCATCACTGTCTATGCCTTTACCTTGAGTCACTGTGCTCTGAGTAACTACTGCTATTTGACAGAGTATTATTTATATGAATTTGTTCATCATCTCTCTGCCCTACTAGACTAGTTCTGAGGGCAGGAGCCTTAACCGTGTTTACTGACTTACACCCTGTATCTAGGAGCAGATGTGATGAATGTTGGGCACTTTATGCATCTACATGGAAGGAAAGAAGGAAGGAAAGGGGGAGAAAGGGGATGGAAGGAGGAAGGGAGAAAAGGACAGAGGAGGGAGGGAAGGATTACTGAATGGTCTTTGCTGGAGCAGGCGGCAGTGGCATAGTTCACCTAGAATCCACGCCCCTTTCCTCAGCTGGCATCTTTGGTTTTTTCCTTTGGGGACCCACTCTCTTCCAACCACTTCGAATTGAGCTGATCCTATTCCAGTACACCTCCAAGTGTGCACTTGTCCAATCAGCATTCCATTACAGGGCCATGGTGACTGATTCAGGGTGGAACATGTGACTCAGTCTTGGCCAATGAAAATTAGTCCTGAGACTTCGGTTTGCTTCACCTCCAGTACTGCCAAATTGATAAGAGGGAAGCCTGGAGGTCCCTTGCAGCAAATGAAAGAGGCTGAGAGGAGAGATCAGGAGAGGCAGTCTGCTGTCACCAATTTAGAATGCTGTGAGGCTCAGACAGGTTTCAGTTTAGCCTCCTAGAGGAGAAGGACTTCTTTCCTATTGGTGCCAGATAAAGTCTCAGATATTCCAAAATGTTCATGGAAAAATGGCATTAAATTGCTGCAAAATTTTTTGAAGCTTATGAATAGTTTTTTTTTCATATTAAAACATCTCCATGAGCTTTTTGAAGACCCCTTGTGTGTATGTATTTATATTAAAATATTTTTAAACACACAGGAATGTTACAAGAATAGTACACAGATCACCAGATCGCCAAGTTATAGCTATTGTTAATATTTCTCCTACTTACTTTGTCATTTGGGCATTCCAATATATATATATATATATTAAATATATGTATATATAAATATATGTATATATGTATATACATATACAAACACAGAAGTACATACATGTACATATACTATATATACATAACACATCATTTTCTTTTTTTAAAGATTTATTTTATTTATTTGAAAGACAGAGTTACACAGATAGAGACAGAGAGAGAGGTCTTCTATCTGCTGGTTCACTCCCAGATGGCTACAGTGGCCGGAGCTGCGCCAATCCAAAGCCAGGAGCCAGGAGCTTCTTCTGGGTCTCCCACACAGGTACAAGGGTCCAAGGACTTGGGCCATCTTCTACTGCTATCCCAGGCCACAGCAGAGAGCTGGATTGGAAGAGGAGCAGCCGGGACTCGAACCGGCACCCATATGGGATGCTGGTGCTTCAGGCCACGGGCTTTAACCCGCTGCACCCCAGTAGTCACTCTTAATATAGAAAACCTCTTCAGCCTTTTTGTCTTTCATGAACTGACATTTTTGAAGACTAGAGTCACACCCGATGCAGTTTTTGTTTTGGCTGTCGACTGTGAATTAAATTCAGGTTATGCACACCTGTCTGGAATGTGATACTGCATCTCCTCAGAGCCTCACATTTAGATCTATGTGTGTATGAAGCCCACTTGCCACCCGCTGTGATGCTAATTATGATAGTAGTGGTGACCCACCTGGCCAAGGTGGTTGTCTGTTTTCCTCACTGAATACTTTCTATTTCTTCCTCTTGTACAGGTAACTAATAAGGAGTCAGTGGGGCGACACTTTAAATCAAATAAATAACCTAGAAGCAGGGAATATTCTGATTGGCCCATTATGCGTCACATGTCCACCACCAAACCAATCATTTTAGGGATCCAGGAACTTTATTGGTCTGGCCTAGGTCACATGTCCAGCTATGCAGTCAGTGGAAGGCCCCTGCTTCTCCCCAGAGTAATGGACATATGGCATAAGGCTGGGGTTCTCACCTGAGGGCACTTTGCTCTCTATGGGACATTGGACACTGTCTGGAAACATTTCTGGTTGTCACAACTGGAAGGGTGGTACTACTGGCAGCCAGAGATACCTGAGCATCCTGCCATGCCCAGGACAAAAAAGGAACTGTCCTGAGTGCAGTAGAGCCAAGGCTGAGGGACTCGGCAAAGAGAATGCAGTTCTGCAGAGGAGGAGCACAGGGAGGACTCCTAGTCCTGTTCACTCTGATGCCTCCCAGCTGGGAACGCCAGCTGCCTCGGACCAGTCCTGCCTCGGCCACCAACAGTAGTGCGATCCTGGGTTATTCCTCGCTCTTGAGTGCCTCGGTTTCCTCATATGTAGAGCAGGATTGGTAATAGTGCCACCATCACAGGGTTATTATGGAGATTGAGTGCACATTTGTACTGACCTTGGAACAAGTCCAATATGTAGATGTTTGTAACATAAATCATCAGGCGTTTCCATCCTTGGACAGAGTTAAATACACACTTGTAATCCTGACCCTCTGACTTCCTTCTTGCCAGACTCCGAGTTTGATCATAATGAGTGGGAAAAGTTACTGATGTTTTCTTGCCTCAGTTTCCCTTTATGCTAAATGGGAAATAACAACAGAGGCTACCTTGGGAGGATTACTTGAGATCACAAATCTCAAATACACCCAAACCATCAGCTAGGAATGCTGGTCTTGATAGAAACTGATGTGGCTGATTGCTTGCCAACTGCCAGCACTGTGGTGCTGGATTTATATTGGAAAAGTGATGACATTTTGTACAAGTAAATGGTTCTGAGAAACTAGCTGAGGCCGTAGTGGTCAGTGGCAGCCAGCATGCTTCCAGCTCTTCCTAAGTGACAACCATTGTTACACACAGAGTATCTACCCTGGTTCCTGTTTAAGCCTCACACTTGCCTGCACAGTGCTATTAGTTATTTTTCCGTTTTTCAGCTGTGGAAGTGGCCACAGCTCCTATGTGGCTAAAGCAGAATTTGGACCCTGGCAGGTGACCCTGTGCCCACACACCTCACACCATCCTGTGGGAAAGTTGACTCTCTACGGGGTGCTAACGTTCTCTTCGTTTCTGTTTCCTCCTTAAGCTAGTCCATTCCCTTCAGCTTTTACTTCCCTGTGGATGACTCCTGCTCTGCTCTGCCTCTCGCCCTCCTCCTTATCCTTCAAGACTCAGCTCGAATATCGCCTCCTCTGTCACAGGATGTTCTGAGACACAGGTGCTTAACTAGAATGGAGTTGATGTGAGATCATGTGATTGTCTGGACATCCAGGGCTGGGCACTGGAGCCCCATGGAGTTAGCCACGCAGACTCCTCTGTTGTTGCTACTCTGTCCTGTGTGGCTGAGGAGTGCTCACTGCACACACACGTTCTGCTCGAAAGAAAGGTGGGGTGTGGGAAAGGAGGAACAAAGCCTAGAAGATGGACATTCACTTCTGCCCACATTCCACTGGTCAGAACCTAGTGGTCACATGAGCGCATCCAGCTGCAAGAGATGCTGGGAAATGCAGTCTTGGGCTGGACAGCCATGGGCTGACCTGTAGCTTCTATTACTATAGCAAAGGATGATAGGCATTGTGTCCACTATAGTCCTGGTTTGCTAGTTAATTTGTCCCCAGCACCAGGCCACGATGAATAATCTCTCTTCAAGTCACTCTCCCATTGACTGGGAGCCCTCATTTTTAGACAAATACTTTGAATAATTATGAACATTTCCTGAGCATTGACCATTTGCTAAAGACTGAGTTAATTATTATTTTTAAAAAAGATTTTAAAAATTTATTTGAGAGTCAGAGTAACAGAGAGATGGAGAAACAGAGTTGGTTCTTCTGGTTCACTCTCCAAATGGTTGTAACAGCTGAAGTTGAGCCGATCTGAAGCCAGGAGCCAGGAGCTTCTTCCAGGTCTCCCATGTGGTTACAAGGGCCCAAGCACTTGGGCTATCTTCTGATGCTTTCCCAGACCATTAGCAGACAGCTGGATCAGAAGAGGAGCAGTCAGGACACAAACCGATGCCCATATGAGATGCCAGCACCAAAGGCAGAGGCTTAACCTATTATGCCATAGCACCGGCCCCTAAGCTAGTTATATTTACCTGTATGAGCCCACTTAGTCCTCACGATAACCATGAAAGGCTTTAGGTAGTAGAGTTATTATCCCTGTTCCAGATATAAGAGAATTGCAGTACAGCGAGCTCACATCACTTGCCCAAGGTCAGATAGGTAAGCAGCCAAGCCAGGATTGCAGCCCAGACTATCTGACTCCTGGGCCTATGCTCTTAGCTATCAATGACATCTTCCTCGCAGAAGTGGCGAGTGGGAGATCCCAGATGGTCATACAACTGGTGAGTGCAACAACCTCTTCTAGGCATTGATGTTGCCACTGTATCACAGCAGCCATTCATTTGCCTCTTCAGCTACCATATGGACATTTGGAATATGCACGCAGCAGTTACCTGTAGCCACAGTAATGCTGCATAAGAAATTATTGTGAAACATCAGGGACACATAGCAATGAGGGTTCAGTTAGGTGGCTCTGCTGATCTTGCTGGGCTCACTCCTACATCTGAGGGAAGTCTTGTTGTCAGGTCATTTAGATGACCTCTGGCTTTTCCAGAGGACTTGGGGGGATTTGACAGGACCCTACATGTTCGTCTTTCTGGCTCTAGCAGACTAGTCTGAATATGTGCTTCCTTATGGCATGCATGAGCATGATAGAGGGAGGGGTTGGGGTTGTGGAGAAGGTGAGAGTTAATTATGCAAGCATTTTTCAAGTTTCTGTTTATATCACATTTTATCAACATCCCACTGGGCAAAGCAAGTCCCATAGTCAAGACCAGGTTGAGAATAGGAAGTCACTGAATGATGACATGGGAAAAGACTGTGGATATGGTGCAGGGTGAGAAATTGCAGCCATCTGTGCAGTCTACCACAATGCGCAATTCTAAACACCTTTCAAATGTCAGTCAACTTTTGACCTCCTCTCGCGGAGCAGGTTAGCAACCAGTCCCTGGGTGAACAGATTTTTGGTTTTGTGTTACAGGCACCAGTGCTCTTCAAGGATGTGGCCATGTACTTCACACAGAAGGAGTGGCAGCTTCTGAAGCCTGCTCAGAAGGTCCTTTACAAGGATGTGATGCTGGAGAACTACGAGAACTTGGCCTTCTTGGGTAAGGACAACCTCCCACAAGTCGATCTGGGCTCCTAGGAGCCCCCTAGCCTCCTGGCTCTGAAAGGTCATGAGTTTTTCAGAAGACTTGAATGAGTTCTGCACTAGGACTGGGCTCAGCCACTGAGGCTCGGATGGCATTAGATTCATCCTACGATTGGCTCTGCTTACAGCCTCAATAGAGCTACCAGTGGCTGAAGCTTCTTAACTCACTTGCAGCAAGAATGGTAGAATGTGTTGGCGCTGGGTGTCACATGCACACGTACACACACACACACACACACACACACACTGCAGCCCTGATTTTCATCATGACTGGATCTGGTGCCCATCATGTGAACACAGCTAAATCAATTATGGCACCTAGTAAGTCTAGGTATGGGCTGATTGGCTGATATTCTCTCTGGAGGTGGTCTCAGTTTCTTGGAAACTACATGGTTCATCAACAGAAATTTGAGCAGGTGAGTGAGGGAGGCAGTGGCAGGACAAGACAGGGAAGGTTGGGGATACAGACCTCCACATCACCGTTGACAACCCTTTGTATCATCAGTTGGGCTTCTTGCTATGCAAGCATTTGGTTTTGAAAGGGATTCTGAAAGGCACGTAATGTTTCTTTCCATCTGTATAGTAGGTCATCCAGTTTTCAAACCAAAGTTGATTGCCAACTTGGAGCAAGGGATTAAACCTTATGTCAAGAAGAAAGCTGTCCCTAGGGACCACCAGAGAGGTGATGAGGGAATCAGCGGGAGCAACATTGCCTCTGGTGAGTAGAAGGAAAATCACTGATGTCTCCACAGGAACCCTTCTCAAATGCTCATCATTGTAAAGGGTTTGGAAAGATGGGATAAGGTTGCAAAACATGAGAGAGGCCTTCTGGTCTGAGAGATTCTTCCACTCATGTTTTCATTCCCATGCTTCTTGCTTGTATACATATATACATCATATATGTATACATATGCCATGTCTTAAAATTATTGCTACTTTCCAAATCAGCCTCCAATGGTATCATTACACATCCACCTGGATGACTTCAATGAGAACTAGGGACATTGGCAAGGCTGTTGTCTTAGTGTTGGCCACTAGAATGAAGACAAAGGTATCTTATAAACAGCATAAATTTATTTCTCATGTTTTTGGAGACTGGGAGTTGAAGTGCAACAAGTGCAAGGTTCTGGAGCGGGCCCTCTTCCTGGTTACAGAGGGCTGAATTTTCATTGTGTCTTCATGTGGTGGGCAAGACAATAATGTGTACACAAAGCTCTCTGCCTCTTCTTATATAAACACTAATCCTATTCATGAGGGCTATATGCTTATGACCTAAATTGCCTTCCAAAAGCTCTACCTCCTAATACTACTAGTTTGGAGGTTCATATCTGAAAATATGCATTTGTAATAGCTTTGTTTTATTTATTGAAAAGGTAGAGTGACATGAGAGGGGGGAGAGAGAGAGAGAGAGATATCTTCCATCCATTGGTTCAGTCCCTAAATGGTTGCAACAGCTGGAGCTGGGCCAAGCTGAAGCCAAAAACCTGGAACTCAATCCTAGTCTCCCAGATAGGCGGCAGAAGCCCAAGTACTTGGACCATCATTTGCCACTTCTCAGGCACATTATTAGGGAGCTAATAATCAGAAGTAGAGCAGTCAGGACTTCAACTAGGGCAGCCATATGGGATGCAAGCAAGCAGTATCTTAACCCGCTGCACCACAACACTGGCCTTCAAAATATGAATTTTGAGAGGACAACATTCAGTTGATAACAGATGTAGAGAAACTGGAACATTTGTAGACTGATGATGGAACTGTGAATTGGTATAGCTGTTCAGAGAAGAAACTATTAAGCAGCATCCACTAGACTTGCACAATGCAAATGTACTGTCACAGCAACTCCACTCCTATGTATATATCCAGTAGAAATGCACACATAAGATATGTACAAGAAGGCTCATACCAACTCTATTCAGATCGACCCTAGATTGGGGTCTATCTATTAACAACTACCTATGAAGTGAGTATGACAAAATGTTCAAAATTGTCAACTTTTTTTGAAGATTTTATTTATTTATTTGAGAGGTAGAGTTACAGACAGAGAGATGGAGAGGCAGAGAGAAAGGTCTTCCACTTGCTGGTTCACTCCCCAAATGGCTGCAACAGCCGGAGCTGGGCCAAACTGAAGCCAGGAACCAGGAGTTTCTTCCAGGTCTCTCATGCAGGTGCAGCGGCCCAAACACTTGGGCCATCTTCTACTGCTTTCCCAGGCCATAGCAGAGAGCTGGATCCGAAGAGGAGCAGCCGGGACACAAATCGGTGCCCATATGGGATGCTGGTGTCACAAGCAGAGACTTAGCCTACTAAGCCACAGGGCTAGCCCCAAAATTGTCAAATCTTAAAATAAATTTTTAAATGCTAACAAAAAAGAGGGGAACCAGCAGGAGGGAAGCCTCCACTCTTTTTTTTAATAAAATAAATAAATAATGTTAAAATATATATTAAGGTATATTTACGCCACAAAATATTATAAATGTGCAAAGGATCGATGTAGATGAATCTCACAAATATAGCATTGGGTGCAAGAAGCCAGAGAAAAAAGGGTGCACACTACAGAGTTACATTTATATGATATACCAGAACAGGCAAAGCTAATCTGTATTATTAGAAATCAAGTTCATGATTTTCCAATGGTGGGAGGTTAATGATTAGAAGAGAACGGAGCAGGGGCTAGAGGTGAGGCTTTCCTGAGGTTAAATTTCTTGACCTTAACCTGGTGCTGTGGATGTGAATGTGCTTACAAAATGGACATTAACCAAACAGGACATGATTTTTAAAACTTTTTCTTATATGTATGGCATACTCCAGTAAAACATTCTGAATAAAAAATTTTAAAACCAATACCATAAAACAGATATTTACACTCTAAATTTTTTTCAGACAAGAAAAAAAGCCATAAACTGAAGACAACATTGCCAAAGTCAGGCAGTCCAAAGACAACACAGCAGGAGAAGGCCAAGACAGTGACCCAGAAGGATGGCCCCCTGGAGACTAGGGCAGAAAGGGTCTTGGAAAGTGAAGATACGTCATCTTGGAGCAAGAAGAAATCTGGCCCAAGTGTGGCTGCAGAATCACACACAAACAGCCTTCCTGGCAAGAACGGGCCTGAATCGGTGGCCATGAAGACACTTCCGGGTCAGACATCAGCAATCACATCTCCCAAGGGCAGCCCTCCAGGAAAGGAGACCCTGCAGAAAGACGCTCACAGTCAAACACAGGGTGCTCTGGCCTTCCCAAAGCGGCGGACGGCCAGAAAGGGGAAGAACCACTTTAAATGTCGGGAGTGCGGGAAGACCTTCAACCAGACCCTCCACCTCGTGGAGCACGAGCGCATTCACTCGGGAGAGAAACCCCACAAGTGTGACGCATGTGGGAAGTCCTTCAGGCACAGCTCATACTTCTTCACGCACTACCGAATCCACACAGGGGAGAGGCCCTACAAGTGTAAGGTGTGCGGCAAAGCCTTCAACAGCAGCTCCACCCTCAGCAGCCACCACAGAGTCCACACAGGGGAGACACCCTTCAAATGTGAGGAGTGTGGGAAAACCTTCAAGCAGAGCACCAAGCTCACTCGCCACCGCAGGGTGCACACAGGCGAGAAACCCTACAGGTGCAGTGAGTGTGGCAAATGCTTCGGCCGCAGTTCATCCCTGAGGGAGCACAAGAGGATCCACACAGGAGAGAAGCCATACTGCTGTCGAGTGTGTGGGAAAAACTTCAGGGTTAACTCACACCTGTCAGAGCATCAGCGGCTCCATCAAGAAGCGAGGTCCTTCCAGTGTGACGAGTGTGGGAAGTACTTCCGAAATGGCTCCCATCTCTCAGAACACAAGCTGATCCATGTGCCGGGGGCTCGAGAGGATTGCCCAGAGTGCGGAAAAGCCTTCCCCGGCAAGGCGGCCCTCCTCAGACATCAGAAAAGCCACAGGGAGGAATCTCTGTATCACTGTGAGGGATGCGGAAAGAACTTCCGGTGCAAGTCAAGCATCCAAAGGCACGAGAGGCTGCATGCTGGGCAGAAGCCTTTTGTGTGCACCCAGTGCGGGAAAGGATTCACTGACAAGACCACCCTGAATAATCACCACAAAGTCCACTCTGGAGATAGGCCCGACCCCTGCAGCCAGTGTGGTAGATCCTTCAAACACCTGGCCTCCCTATTGCTCCACCAGAAAATCCATGCTAGAAAGGCACAACAAACTCCTCATGTGTGAGAGGGCCTTTCGCCAAACTCACACCTTTGTAACCACTAGAGAAGTCAGTAGATGTTTCCTTCATTTTTCATCAGAGGCTTTCTGGTAGAGCAGTATTTCTCCATAGTCGGACAATTCTCCCCTTTCCACACCTGCAACATTTGTGCAGCATCCAGACACAGTTTTGATTGGCCCGGCTGGAATGTGCTTCTGGAAACTGACATCTATGGATAGAATCAGAGGATGCGGATACACATCCTCTAATGCACTGGGAAGTTCCCAACAGTGAACAACCTGGCACCACGCGTCAATGGTGATGTCTTTGAGGAACTTAGATGAAAGCCCTGTGGATAACTGAATTTGAGAAAGAATTGAAGTAGTGTTCTGTGCAGTAGCACTAACTGGGTGTGGATATTTAAATTTAAATGAACCAACGTGAAAAAAAAATTAAAGTGCAATCTCTTGGTGGTACCAAGAACATCTCACTTGAGATGAAGAACATTTGGAAGTTCTATTCAGCACTTGTTTAGATCTTGGTCATTAGAATGGTCACACAGGCAGGTCCTGAAAAAGTAAGAAAATGGGGTACGTCTTTTAGACTGAATTTGTACTTTTTTCCAAATGTAGGATTTTATAAATACCATTTAGAGGAATGGGTCCAGGATTCTCTGGTCATTTTCAGGTCTCGGAATCTACCAGAACTTCATGCACAGGACCCGTCCCTCATGCCTGGGGCAAAACAATCAATAGATTACTGACAATATTACTGATAAATGCCAACATTTATTGGGCACTTTCTACTCATCAATTATGGTGCTGAGCCCTTTAATAGATTATCTTAGTTAATTCTCACCAGAGTCCTGTGAAACAAAAACTATCATGATCTTCAACTTTTAGGTGAGAAAACTTGGGCTTTTGAGAACTTTTGCTTAAAAAAAGATTATTTACAAGTTTGCACATAAAGCAAGATTTTATTGATATTCTGTGAGGAAATCCATGTGTTACTTTTATATTGCACTAGTTTAAATGGACATGATTCAAATTTTCACCAAGTGTGCTTTTTTAAAAAAAAAAAGTATATTTGTTTACATTTCCATCTAAACCACTCTTGAGGGAAAGAGCAGCTGAAGCTGGCACAGAAAGGACTAGATGGGGGCGGGGGGAGGTGGGAGGGCAAATCCAACTGCAGCCTGCTGACAAGAAGGTTTTGTTGGCACAGCGGTGCCCCCTCATTTATAAACGGTCCCTGGATGTTCTCAGGAATATGATGACAACATCATGTTGTTGAGAAAGAAGTCAGATGGCCACAAAGCCAATAATATTTGCTATGGGACACCTGAAAGAAACAGCTGACCAACCCCCTGTCTGAACGACTGCAGAGCTGCCATGAATTAGGCTGGAAAAGAAGAGATCAACTCTAAGGCAGAATCCTTGAACTCTTGTGCTGATGACTTCAGTACCGCACACACCACCTACCTGTGATGTATGTACATGTGAATGGTGTTTGTGCATACTTGATGGACAAGTGAACACTGCTTATCTTTTTTGTGTTTGTTTACTCATCCTCTCTTAGTAAAAAAATGCTAGTCACAACCTTCTAAATCAACCTCATTACCATCACCCAGTGCCACCCATAGCTTGAGAAGCCCTGGCAGGTAGTGGGCAACATGCAATACAGTCAGAATCTTCAGCTGCTTAGGAGTTGGTGGGAGTCTTAGGCGTGGTTATTGGAGGACTCCTCAGGGTAGAAGGTGGAAATCCCCAGGATGCTGAGCCTGTGGCTTTGTGCAACCTGGAGAATCAAGAATGAGGGTCTAATGATAAACTCAGCCTCTCTGAATTCTCTTCACCATCTCCAGAATATCTTCCGCCCACCTCCTTGTCATCTCTGGGTCCATAGATATCTTAGAGACTGAATTTGTCTTAGGATGAGGGTGGAATGACCATGGGGTAAGTAAATTCAAGGACTCAGGAGTTTTCAGTAATAACCATATCGGGCTATGTGGCTATATCTTTCTGAGAACAATCTCAGGAGCAGGGCTGGGGTGGTTTTGAGGAGGACTACGTGTGGCAGGTTTTTTTTTTTTTTTTCTGTTATGGTTGTTGATTCTGTGAAACATTTTTGTGTATGAAGGGATGGGTTGTTGGGGGGGGGGCTTCCTCTTCTATAACGCTAGAATGTAACTCTATATAGTTAACAGGATCATTTTTCTTGCAAGTAACCAGAACCAAACTCACACTAGATGAAGTGAAACCAAAGCAATGAAAGGAAATGATGGACACATGCATCTGGCAAGTCTTGCTTGAAGGATCTTTGATCTGGCAGGAAGACTTGAGTACAAAGCCTGTTCACGCTTCCTATCTAAGCTGCTGCTCTGTATCCTTGCTTTGCTCTTTTTTCCATAGACAGGAGCATTCTCCACGATGGGATCAACTTAAGGGAGAGACAGAGTTTCTTTCTCCTATGGGTCCTGAATGAATCCTGAAGAAGAATCCCAAAGAGCCTGCTATACTCTGTGGGAGGGGTTGTGGGCCCTACTTATCTTTTTATTTTTCCTTCGAGGGTTTGCAATAAGCACATATCACTTTGCGATTTTTGAAGAGGCTGGACTTTCCAGGGAGGGGTGCTGGGGGAGAGGACCAATCTCTGAGCACAGAAGACTCCAGTGAGAGGGGCATGATGTGGGAAGACGGGTTCCAAGCTAGAGGGAAAGCCAGCTGATTCTCACCCTCTAATAAAAATAAAATTGTTGCCTGCACTTAAACTGCCTGTTCTCTGTTTCAGACATTGTTTTAATCCCTCAAAATCTGTGAGCTGGAGGCAGGGGTCGGGGCTGGGGGGTTGTCACCTGGCTGCCCTCTCGTTCATCGCGTGGTGCCTGGCGGGGGTGCCAGGGAGAAGCACTGAGCAAGCCTGCTCTCATCAGACCCAAGTCAGCGGGACAGTCCCAGCTGCCACATTGAAGGCGCCTCAATACGCAGGACTGGGGTGGTAACGATGGCCATGTAGCAGACAGCAAGCTGAGGGGCCACCAGGGTCAGGGCAGACCCTAGGGTGCTATTGACAGCAGCTACATTCAGGGCGGAGTAGACCTTGTTGAGGACGCCAGGCATCACCTACAGAGCCTGTGTGAGCCAAGGGAGATTCCAGGTTTTAGGGTTACTGTGGATGTCAGAAGACTGGGGAGAAAGAAGGGAGCTGGGGTTGCCATGGAGGAGACAACTGAGGACTGGTCAGGCTGTTAGGGGAGGCCCAAAGGGACAGTGGATGCAGGAGACTTGGCCAGGCAGGAGTGAGGGGCAGGGTGGGTTTTAAGAAGGTTTAAGAAGCTGTAGTGCCAGAAACGAAGCCAGGTGTGACCAGGCAATTTCTGGGCAACGATGAGATTCCAGGGGGTGGATTTCTTCTGCCCAGATGAGAGACTAATGCAGCAGTCAGAAGGGAGGAGGGCCAGCCTCTAGAGGCTCCAGGACGGCCATAGGGGCATGATCCTTTAGGAAGGCTGCAGTGGGGTGGGGAGGGCTTAGGAATTTGAAGTTGGAGTCCTTGTGGCAGGTTACTCTGATGGGGAGGATCCAAGTGGGCTCCAGGATGCCAGAATGTCAGTCGAAGGTCAAGGGTCACCTGGGGCATAGCAGAGTGACATTTAAGGCTCCTGAGGGCAGTGTGTGGGTGTGGAATCTAAGGGGCCCCTCCAGTGGTCTGGGGGGTCCACAGAGGAGAAGGAATGTGGAATTGGCTTAAGGGCCTGCAGGTGGCTACCTTCACCTGGCTGTGGTAGGGCTGGTGGCACTAGGTGTGAGCTCCTGAGTGGGGCCACAGCTGGGGACATGGCTGGCCAGACAGAGAGGGCTCTGGGGGCTAACCAGAGGGGCCCTGCGGATGGGATGGAGACCTGTAGTTCTGGGTGTGTAGCTGCAGATGGTGTGCTTGGGTGTCTTCAGTGATGATCTGAAATGTGCATTCTTCTAACATGGTTGTGTGTGTGTGTGTGTGTGTGTGTGTGTGTCTGTCTGTCTGCCACAGCTGTTTGAAGCTTTGAGTGTTTGCATTTTGTGGGAGTGAGACTCTGGGACTGGATCTCAGGATGCATCTCTGAGTTTCTGGAAATGCGAATGTGTGTATGCGCGCGCGCGTGTGTGTGTGTGTCCTTGCCTGGGCACGTGGCTTTGTTTCTGTACATGTGGGTGGGTGTGTATCTGTAAGTGGATCTCAGTTTTTCCAGGTGGGACTGAATGCCTGAGGAGGTGTCTCTGAATTTGAAAGCATGCCATTGTGAATAGGATGAATGTGACAATGTGTGGGGTGTGTACTTGTCAGTTTTGTGTTACTACAATAGAATAGCTGACACAGGCTAGCTTTATAAAGAAAGGAGATTTATTTGACTTGCAGTTTTGGAGGTTCAAGGGCATGACTCCTTCATCATCTCAGCCCTATTGGCTGCATCACATTGCAGCTGATGGAAACAGTGGGGGGCACCTGATCACATATCCGAAGAAGAATCCAGAAACATTGGGGTGGCACCAGGCACAGGCTTGCGTAACAACTCTCTGGAGAGAAGGCCCTACCACTTCTCCATTCCCATCAGCTCCCAGGGCACCACATTGGCAGGTTGGGGACCGAGCCTTTGACACATGGACCCTTGAGGGGAAAACCTCATCCATAACCATAGTGCGCGGAGGGGTTGGGGTCACCCTGTGCTCAGGAGACCGTTTCTGATGAGCCTGTCAGGGTCCATCCCCCACTTCCCAAGAATTTCTGACCCCGTACCGAGGCCCTTGTCCCTGCTACTCTGAAGCACGACGCTCTGACTCAAGATCTCCCCATCAGTCATGATTCGCCTTTGGAAGCCTGGGCCCAGGCCCAGAGGCTGGGGCCATGAGAGACAGGTACTGGGAGAGATGACTCAAAGAGGAGCTCCAGTTGGAAGAGTTCAGCAATTCAAGGAAGCTGTGGGCCAGAGTGGAAAGGACAGTTCTTGACTCCCACTCCTTAGTATATCAATAGAAGTGTAGCCAACTCTCAAACTGCCTATATTCCAGCTAGACACTTGCTTTAAATGCTTGAAAGATTTTTTTTCACATTAAATCCCTAAGTAATGTACTGTCTTCATTTTTTTAACAGAGCAGTAAGCTGAGCTCAGGGTTTTTGTTTGTTTGTTTGTTTAAGATTTTATTTATTTGAGGCCGGCGCCGCGGCTCACTAGGCTAATCCTCCGCCTTGCGGCACCGGCACACCAGGTTCTAGTCCCGGTCGGGGCACCGGATTCTGTCCCAGTTGCCCCTCTTCCAGGCCAGCCCTCTGCTGTGGCCAGGGAGTGCAGTGGAGGATGGCCCAAGTGCTTGGGCCCTGCACCCCATGGGAGACCAGGATAAGTACCTGGCTCCTGCCATCAGATCAGCGCAGTGCGCCGGCCGCAGCGCGCCGGCCGCGGCGGCCATTGGAGGGTGAACCAACGGCAAAAGGAAGACCTTTCTCTCTGTCTCTCTCTCTCGCTGTCTACTCTGCCTGTCAAAAAAAAAAATACAAAAAAAAAAAGATTTGATTTATTTTATAAGTAAAATTACCCAGAATACAAACATCTGCCAAACCACGCCCGCAATGTGCTGCAACAGCCGGAGATGTGAAAACCTGAAATCCAGGAACCATCCAGCTTCCTTCCCGGATCCCCCGCGTGGATACTGGCGCACAGGCCCAAGAGCCTCCCTACCCTCCGCTTGATATGGCCAAAGATGGAGGGGAGACTTGGTTAAGGGACTCCCCGTGACGAATGCCTAAACTAATCATACTAAGAGTATCTCCACGATCAAGACTAGGCCCCCCGTCCCCTACCCGCCTTCCATGAACACTTTGTAAATCTCCAC